TTGAGTTCCAAATGAAAATTAAAATAATTTGTCGCCGCGATTTCGGTTCGCAGACAATGCAAGTTTTGGTGATTTCACGTTGTTGTTTTGCAAAGGACGGCTAAGAAATGTACAAAGTTTTGAAACGCACGTGCTGGGCTATTATTCTGCCAATTAGATCTTTTGTTTTTCCACGTTCTCGTTGCCGTCGCCGTTGTGGTTTGCTTAATTCCCTACTGATCTTTTTGGGCGTCTGCTGAATACTCTCAGTTGACATTCGGTTCGAAGCGCTTCACGTGTAGTTTGTTTTGATTGCCAATAAGCCACGCTCGCCAGTGGACTAAGTGGAGAGAGATTCCCACTTATCTGCCCCTCCCTCAAATCGCTAATTTGAAATCTCCTAAAATCTGGAAGACACGTGACCAGCCTAAACCAGGGTCTCTCCTCTCTCGCTCCAGGGGGCGGGAAGATGAGAGACCCTGGGAACGAGGTTGCGTAGAACAGAGTATTCACACCTTGAACATCAGTCAAATGAGGAGCAACTAACATCTAAATGGATGAGATGGCAAAAAAATTGAAAAGAGAAGCGATAAAACTGTTCTCGTTATTTTTTTTCCATCCTATATCCAGTCTGCACAGGGACCTGGATTAGCATTCATCGCTTTCACTGAAGCCATAGTGAAGATGCCCATATGCCCTCTGTGGGCTGTGCTGTTTTTTTTTTTTGCATGTTTCTAACTCTTGGACTCGGCAGTATGGTTGGAACTTTGGAGGTAGCACTCACCCCCTTGTATGACCTTCAGATTTTTCCTTGGAGGAAAGAGGTCCTAACAGGTAAGTACATGAGACTATGCTAGATTTAAAAATTCATCTGTGTCAAGGTTAGGAGAGAAAGAGTTGAATCATTGATGACAATCGAAACCTGGTACTTTCCGTACTCCGGCGATGAAAGTCCTAAATAAAGCTCGTAATGAATCAAGTTGAGATACCCCGTAATGTGCTTGTGACAGTGAATTTCGCTACAAAAATTTAATAAGTTGGCCTGCTTAAGTTTTTCAGTCCGTGAATTTTGTTTAGTTGTGTTTAATTTTTATTTATTTTTCGTGTTCCAATGCCACAAGCGTTGATTGTTTGATTGTGCAAGTACCCTTATGCTGCCTGCAAACGTGAGTTTTGTACATGTAAATGAAGAAATCTAGAAGGGTGTGAAAACTGAGCCTGGATCTTAACAATTTTAGGATAAAATTTAAGCTTATGATAAAAGCTAATGATGGCTGACATTCCACATTATTTTGTGTTATTTACAGGCATCCTCTGCATTGATAGTTTCCTGGTTGGTTTGTTATTCTGTCAGAGGTCCGGCGAATACTGGCTGCAGATGTTGATTCGTTCAGTGGCACCATTCCCAGTTCTGTTCATCGGCTTCTTTGAGCTGATAGCTGTTCATTACATCTACGGCGCGTCCAAGTGAGTGTCTTCAACACCTGATGCTCGGTCCACTAGAGCAAAGACAGATTCCTTTAACCACTCCACGCCATTGACCACTTTCATAAATGGCTGCCGGATTGATATTCTTTTGTTTAAATTCAAATTAGCCTTTCTGGCCTCGTTCAGTCTCCCGTTTAAAATTCAAAAGAATGCATCATCTCAAGCGAGGCTAGTGAGGCTAGTTTGAATTTAAACAAAAGAATATCAATCCGGCAGCCATTTATGAAAGTGGTGTATGCTTGACCCTGAGCAACTTATATTTAGCAGTGCAAAATATCCCTTGCACAACTTGTTTTCCTCGCTCTTTCTACCCATCGCCCTCAGGGTTTCAATGATATGGAGCGACTACGAAAATTTCTGACCCCCCTCCATGTACCCCCTCCCCCCCCTCTAGTGAGGTGCCAGAACATTGAGGTATAGTAGGCTACCCCTGAGCAACTCGTTAAGTTCCTCTTTCAATTCACCGGTACCCAGTTATGTCCCTTACCCAGTGGGAATAAGAGCTGTGAGACCTAGATTTCCTTCATCAGAGGACAAGGAAATTCCCCTTAACAGTACTCGAATCCAGATCTTCTCGTTACTTCCGGTTCCCTTAGTCTCCTGACCACTAGGTAAGTTTTCCACATGTTTGCTCTCCACTGTGACCATTTTCCGTTTTGAATTTCTCCTTAGGTTTGAGGATGATGTCGAGTACATGATCGGAAGCCGACCGGGATGGTATTGGAAGATCACTTGGCGTTTTGTTGCCCCATTCCTTGTTTTTGGTATTCTGGTGACGAGTATAGTAAACATGGGAATAAAACCTATTGCTTATTCAGCCTGGCACCCAGAACTTGTGAGTAAATCAGTTCAGATCTTTTTTCTGTGCATGCTTTACACTGGAATGCAGTTTTCCCGCAAATGCAAAAAATAGCCCTGCCTCGAAAAGAAAGTGCCCATGCTTTTTTTCGCCAAAACAAATTTGAAATGGGAACCACAACGAAAAAATAAAGTCAAAATTTGATAAGGGCCAAGGCGCTCTTTCGCGTAAACACGGTGGTTATTAAAACGACTCGTACAAGCAATCTTTCTGAGAACAGTACTGGTAAAAAACCGAATTGGGAAAGCTTATACCTTAAAATATTTATATGCATAGTAGCTTTATCCAACATTGAAAGTAGAAGGGGTATGGCAGGGCTTTTTCAAGTGTGTTATTTTACGATCTTGCTTGTCTTCTAGCACACAGAGAGGAAATGACAATAGTGCAGAAGCGCTTTTAGTTTTGGTGTTAGCTTTCGTTTTAAAGGCTGCGCTAGAGTTTTTTTTATTGTTGTTTGCAAAGTTAAGAAGCACTGATTTCAACCATTTGGTGTTTTAGCCAAGATCCTGCATTCTGCATTACTTTGAAGAGTGGAAGAATTTCAACATTCATTCCTACTAGAGAATTAAATCATCTTTTTCGATGGTTAAAAACTGATGTTATACAAAATATCCTTCCTTATCATAGGCAGACGTGGTCCCAAACCAATATCCTAATTGGGGATATGTTTTAATCGTCATCCTGATTCTGTCTTCGTGTTTCTTTATTCCATTCACCTTTATACTACGGAGAATTGGTTTCACTAAATACGTGAGGGGAAATGGCGTCATACCTCCGGGATCTCTGACACCCCAATTGTCACGTGCTGCACTAAATTTATCAGAGGAATCGCTGGCTCGGACCGACGACGACGAAAAGTATGACTCATAAAAGAAAATATTTCGGGTTCACGGTACAGTTTCTGATTTGCTTGTAAACTTTGTTTATCTTTGGTTGATTTCTGACGCAAGTTTGACAACTCCAGTATTGGTCTAGCCTTAAAACTAAATTTGATTTTTATTATGGACGGTAAGTTTCAAGGATTTTTAATTATCGTTATTATTTTGGACGGCTGACTTCGCCAATAATTTAATGTCTGAGTAACAATTTTAAGTGTGTCTTCCATGTCGCTTTCGGCTCTTTGAAATAATCTGATATAGCAAGACCATTGATTATTTTATCAAGCTGTTTTTAAGATTTTAACTGATGAATACTTTGTCGGTAGACTTCAGCATTTTTACTGATTAGTACACAATGTATCTTCCAAACTGGACCTTACTTTATTAAATGTATCGTATTTGTGATCTTGATTAAAATTTCTTGGAAATACAGTTGTTTGTAAAACTTGTATATCGTACAAAGTGAGTCTGCTGGAGATATCGAACTAAACTAAATTGAAAATTAATCTAGAAAATAATCGGAAAATAAGATATAATCCCCTAAGAAAAAGTCAAAAAGACAACAACGTAGTCTTAATAAGTTAGAGATATATCATGTTTGGCTTTTTCGGTTAACCCCTCTGGATTATTTTGGAAGTCGACGTTTCCTTTCTCTTATATCTACTGTGGTTGTTGGTTTGTGTTCGCATTTCATGAGAGTAAAGGGCGCGGTTTTGTTCCGTATCACTTCCGTCTGGTTATTCAATCGCGCTGGAATTTCTTTAAGTACAAATTTTCCCCTCCAAACTTCCACTTCTAATTTTTTCTTTTAATAAATCGGTTTTTTTATAGCAGGTTGTCTGCGTTTTATACCTGCTGATTTTGTACCACTCATAAAATTACTTCCCCAGAAAAAAAGTCGTCTTTTTATCCACCAAAGGGTCATCTATCGAATTACCTCACAGGTTACAGATTAAGCAATTGAGGAGAACATTGTAGTATCTTAACTGAAGTAAATGCCTGTTAAAATATCAAGGAGATTTATAGTCCTTGTAAATTGTTTTAGTTCAGCTGACTTATCCAAGTAAGACAAAAAAAAAAACATGTTAAGGGTTGCGTATGGCCTCTCCAAAATACGAGGGTCATGCAAAATTAGTCTCGAATTTACACCGTTTTTCTCCGTCTTTTAGTATCGATTCTTTTCAAAAGGTTTCTTCAAAGCCAAGATTTGTTTTAGCGGCGCTGTCTCAATTAATACGATCTTTAAACATTAAAAAAAGAATAACGGCTGTAGACGCACTGATACGAGGGGAAAAGTGGTAATCTTCAGAAAGCTAAATGGTGGCTTTTATCAAAAGAGCTCCTTCTACCGCGTCGCAGTATGACAAAGACCAATCACACCCCATTTATTGACACGGAAATTACTATCGATCATTTTTTCTGTTAAGTTTTAAGAACGTATTTGCGATGTAATGCCTCGCTGGATTTCTGTAATCCTTTTTAATCATTTGTTCTCGGTTGCCCCTTGTTCAACTCCACGGCTGCCCTCAGCCAGTGAAGATTTTCAAGTGCTTAGTTAGTCTACATTGTGGCTGAAAAGCCCCTAAGGCGGAGCTTCAATTAACGTATATTATTATTATTACAATCCTCATTTTTTCCCCCAAAACATCTAACAGAATATATTTAAACGCTCGAGAGGCGAGTTTAGGGAGACTACACCTCAGAAATTCTGTTGTTTCGTAAACCTGCTTATTGCTGGGAAGAAGATCTCGCGGATGGCATGTGAACTTGTTCACGAAAGTTAAGAATGAGTCGGAAAATCTTCAAAAACTCCCTCTTGAATCGTTTGTTTACAACCGCGTAAATAAAGGGGTTGATCGTAGAAGACAAGAAAACCATGATTGTGTAGAACAAGTACATTTGACGCGGCAAAGTAAGAGTGCCTGTCACCACGTCTGTGGTGTCCATCACTAAAACGGGAAGCCAGCATAATGCAAATCCGACGACAACCGCTACTAGAGTTTTAGTGATATTGGTGTCGCGTACGTTGACTCTGGTCGCGGAATTTTGGCCATTTGCCGTCATAATTCGGCTTTGCTCTCGTACCGTCTTAAAAACGTACCAATAACAGAGGACAATGGTTGCTGTTGGCACACCGATGAACATAACATCGAGACAAACGGTATAAGCGATGTTTATTTCGAAGGGATACACACAAAGAACTTTTCCGGGTTGGAATGCGTAGTCTTCGCTACCAAACAGCAGAGTAGAAACTGAAAAAAGGCACGCCAGCAGCCACACGATCACCAAGTAGCCGAGTGTTCTTTTCATGGAGAACACGGTTCGATAGTCGTTAGGCTTCACGACGCAGAAATATCTGTTAATCGCAATGACAGAGAGAGTATTAAGTGAAGCAGTGGCAAACGTTATAACGCAGAATCCTTGGAAAAGGCAAACAGATCGGTGGTAAAGCCAAACCCCGGTGATGATCGCTCCTGCTGACAGTGGCATCACTGAGATTGCTACCAGTAGATCCGTCAGGGAAAGTGCGACGATTAACACGTCTGTGATGGTAAGACGACGGCGTTTTCTATAGGCTACAGCAAAAACCAGAATGTTTCCGATCAGAGCTGTTATGTCCACCAAAATCAGTATTGTTGCTTCCACCACAACGAAGACATTATCTCTTCGCGCTACGCTTAGCGCAAGGCGGTCTTGGCCGTTCGACATGGCGTTGAATCCAATTGAAATCTGTTCTTCTTTAAGAGAGAAAAAAGAAGAAGATAAAGAAGAAGATACTGTTTCATTCTTAAACTTCATTCCTTTGTTTCTGTCTTTTTTGTTTATCGTGTCTTTTAATTAAGGCCTTCCTTCCTTTCTATTTTTTCCTTCAATATCGCAATCAGAACGATGTAATATCGTATTTCCCTGGGTAGAGAACAAAATTGCTTTTTTAGAGATTTCATCGTATAAATCAACTTGGAAAAATCTTAAGTCTTATCCCTAAATTGCTTTTCTTATCTCTAACTATCAGGTTAAATTGAAAATTGAAAATTTTAATCTTTTTGTACGTCAGAATTTGTCAGTAATCACAAATGGACTGATTGGAACTTCGCTGACATCGGAAGAAAAAAAAAGAGCTGTTTGATTAACCGCTAGAACAAATTATCGAGTGCCTGCATCCGAAACGATTTATACCACTGACTCCATACCAAGATATTGATGAAACATGTGGATCTCCCTTACCAGTAGATTTTTCGCGATCACCTATTTATAACTGTACCCGCGAAGAAAATTGTTGCACACTTAATTCAATAAAACTCGTATTCTTCAATAGTGAACACCGAAATGACATTCGCTTTATGAGCGGGATTAAAATGTATTAAATAAAAGATGACAGGTGGTTCTTTTCGGTTCTTTCCCACAGCTCTTTGATTATAAAGCGAATTAATAATCGAGAGCTTTATATCTTTTGTTTGTTATAGCACATGAAGAAAAATATCGCTAGTGTACGATTGGATCGCGATTTCTGTCAGTTGTGTAATTAACTGCAAAAACATCGTTGAAGTTCCTTTTGCACTTTAAGAAGACAATAAGAGGCAAAAGCCCATAGTTTGTTCCGATATGATTGATTTTTATCAATATTTTGTCGGAAAAATCCAACGAGGATACTAAGAAAATACTCGTGGAAATATGCGAATAATTATCGACTTTTTTAATATCCAATTCGTAAGAAGAAAGAAAAAAATATTTAGATCTTCGAGATGAAATTCAGGATGAAATCGTGTTTCTAGCCTCAGGGAACTTTTTAGTTAGGGCGCGCAGGCATGACTATGGCAAAAAATTAAATCTATATGGAAAATGTTTTGGTTGTGATATTAAACTAAGTCATCCAACAGCTCTAAATGTCTATCTTGGCTTTCATCTTTCCAACTAGGAGCACCGTTGCCATTTGTCCGAGCTGGTCGACCAGACAGTTAGATTTAAAAACTAATAAGGCTCTTTTTTTAAGAGTCTCTACTTTAATTACAGAGTAAAGAAAGAAAACGAATCAAATAGTACAGTAATACTATTGTTTTAGTAATGTGAGGTTATTTGAACCTTTGTGATCGGTACGAGATTTATCACGCACGAGTTCAGCGGTGATCGATCTGCGAGTTAGTTGCATTATGAGAGGCTTATAAAAGTTAGGATTAGTGTCATGTGGATTTTATTCACGACTTCTTCATTCGTTTCAGTCATGTAGTTTTTTTATGCGTAAATTTTGCTTTTCGTACATGGCAATGCTCGTAACGTTTTAAAGCTCTAAAGCTTTTCCTTTAAACTGCACCAAAACCATTAACTCGAAACAGGAAAAAAAGAAGAATCAGTTTTAAAGTAGCATCTTTGGAAAGTCAGCACTTCTTCCGTACTAAAAACGCATCTCAGTTGACCGTTTAAAAACATTTGTCAGTCAGAAACAGGAAAAATAAGAAACATCAATTTGAAAATTTGATACTTTGGCGTTGAACATCGACTGCTTGCCTATGCTTTATTTGCAGCTTAATTTAATCAAAATAACTTTCAATCTCACAACAGGCGAACTGTTTCGTGTTTTTAGTTCATTTCAGCCCAAACTGCCATCATTCCTAAAAATGAATTATAACCATTCATAATTACTTAACGGCAGCATTGTAACGTTCTGAGCGGTTTTGCCCGGAGGGAAAAATTTTAAATTTCATACTTATCAAGTCCCGCCCGCAAGTTTACTTCCGCAACTTTTGTTGGTTACTTGAAAAGCACCCATTAAATTCCACGAATGACGTCGTGAGAGCATTTTCGAGTGCAAAGCTACTTAAGACATCACGCAATGTTCATCTGTTGGTTCTTCCGGCAGAAAAACGGAAGAATATTGTGGATTTTGAAACAGTGCGAAGATTTTTCGACTCAAAAGTTATCAGGAGACGTATGAAAATAGGCTTAACTTATTAGCTGGAAACAATATTTTGTGCATCATGTTTTCATCGTCACTTTGAAAACAAACAATGTTACTTTTGGATCGCATGAATAGTTCACACTCCGATCATATTTAAGCGCAGAGCATAGCCAGTCAGATGAAAACAAGAGATGAATGAACAATTTGCTCGTGTCAGTCGTTACGCAGGGCTGATCGTGATAATTGAACGAAATTATAATCCTGAGAGGCTAGAATTTCACGTGGGTTTAAAGCAAAATTAGTTTAATTTCTTGAAGTCCTCCAATTTAGTAATCAGCCGGATGAGATCGCTTCCAGATGCGTTTCAAAGGGACCGCTTTTGTATAAATATCTTCACTTATACTAGGAGGGAAAATCAGAATCGTAGAAAGAAAAAAAAAAACAAAACAATGCAAGACAAAATAAGAAAAAAAACAAGACATCTCGGGGTAATGTTCCTGTGCAATACGTGTTAACCCCTTAATCTGATTTTAAATCGATAGTATCTTAAATCGAAATTTTTTTACCCTCATTTTCCTAGTTACCCAACCACTCTCACTAAACATATTACGTTACGTGCTTTTCATCCCCCGAAACTTTTCTCGTAAGGCTTGCTTGCCTAAGTCTAACGAAGTGAAATTCCTAAGTTACATCTTAACTCTTAGAAATCCTTATCTTTTTGTCTCCGCTCATATTTAACAAGTAAATTTTCGGTGTTTCATGACCTTTCCTTTTATGTGGTGTAAACGGACTAGGTTGGTGAAAGCTTGCTTCTTCGTAGCACACACAGCCAGCATATGGCAATATTACTAATAAATAACTAACCTTTAAAAGTAAAGGTGGTACTGCTTTTTCCAGAGCTAGCTTTCAGTCAATGATCGCGGCCAACAGCACTGATGGGCAATTAATCTTTACACGGAAACAAAAACAGTGTTTTTTAGCGGTGACCAGTGCTATATATTATATACAGATGTCCAGTGTGTATATCGGTTCTAAAGTTCCTCAAACATGTGACGTAAGCCCACAGTGGTGGGGGTGTTAGTTGAGAGAAAGTGCTCAATATGGTTTCTATAGTAATGTAAAACAGAAAGGAAAAATTGGTTATATTCCGTGTTTACCATGCGATTTACTTTTTCAAGGATTCCTTGCCAGTTTTGTGATGAAGCTCTTTTCCAACCAGATTAGTTACTCTGAAGCCATCGTAAATCGACATGCAACAGAACCAATCAGTAATTACGCTGGAAAGTTTTATCTACTGAATTTCTTTTCAGTTTGCGTACTCCGAAAATGTCCGTGACTTCGACGAAATTTGTCCTTAATAAATTTTGAAATTAGAATTGAAAATGAAACGCGGTTGATGAAGGAGTGACGCGAAATCTGATTCGAATTTCGCATGCATAAAATTTGATTTCAATGGAATACTTGAATAATTTGTAATCTAATAAGCTATCGTTCACTTAGGTAAGTGTCTTATTGAGACTAAATAGCCGATGGATGCTTTGAGCAGCGTGCGATGTTTATAAAAGGCATAATTACTTCTAAAATTGCCTTGTTTCTTTCTCTCTACCGAAAAGGCTATCTTATACTCAAATTCTTTCAATCATGTTTTTCCTTTTTGGAGTAGCTTTGTGTGAGGGACTCAGATATTTTGAAAAGAATGATTTTAAGCAAAATTTATGTCAGATATAGTTAATTAATCATGTCCCGTTGCTAAGTAAACTATTATATCAGAGATTTTAAGGCTACCTGGCTAATGGTCGAGCGAGTTATTGTACAACAAATTAAATTAACAAACAATCGTTGCCAACACGTAATCCAGTATAAGATAACTTTGCAGAATAGAGCTTTTAGATTTAAGTATCACGGAATGCGAGACCTAACTTAGATGAAACTTTAATTAAAAAAGCTATGTGAAAGCTTTTGAAATAAAAACAAAAGGGAACTTTTGTAAAGGGATGCAAATTAAATAGCATCTACTTCACCCTTGGAGGTCAGAGGATATATCTTTTCATGTCTGGTTTAAGAATAATTAGTGGCAATGGCTGATTATAATGATGGAACTGAATTTTACCAAATGGTTAATTGGGTTAAGTGAACATGTTATTGAAAGAATAGTAATTCTCCATTTTTTGATCCTCGATTCCCGCTTTTAAGTTTGAAATTTCCTTTGTTTTCTGGACACAATTTTGTTTTTGTTTTCGAGTATCATTTCTTTATCGGATTCAACTATTTTTTTCGTTCGATAAAAATTTGAAGGCATAAAACCAGCTGCTCATGACGCTAGAGCAATTCGAAAACTGATTTGTTTGTTTAGCTTATATGCATCTCTTCAGTTAAGTCTCACAGTCGCCGTCTCCCTGTAGAGCCCGAATTCTGTTCGCTCTGTCTCAGTCTCGATAAGCATGCAATAAGCATCTCGTAAGCATCCGATAAGCTAGCATCTCAGCCTCGATGGAAGCATCCAGTTTCAAGGAATTGTCCTTGTATTTCATCCTCAGATCGTATCAACAATTAAGAGAGACAGACAGACTGGTTCAGGACAAACGAAGTGTGAAGTTTAATTTGACTTAAAATAACAAAAGAAAATTCAAATGACCCTTTATTTCGTTTAAAACTTAAAGAGGAACATGTACGGCTCAGTGTTAAACTTCGTTGATCGGCTCAGTGGCACCTGGCTTTTTCTTGAATTCTTTTTGAGATACGACATTGCTGTCAACCGCAAAAATCCAATATAAACAACGTATAGTATTTTTATAGGGTTACACGGTTGTGAACGGTTTAGTGCAAGCTTGCTAAACCGTGCGATATGTGATCCCTCAAATGCACAAGCTCAGACTATTTCTTTTTTTCTACACTATGTAAATTTAGCCTTCTTTAGTCACCGTTAAATTTTTCAATTTCATCAATTCCAATTCGTGCCAGTATCTGTCCCCTTAATTAAACCATCATTACTTCGCTTCGTTTTTTTCCCTCGTCATTGTAAACCCAGTGGTGCTTGTCTTACCTTAGAAAGATTATGTTACGATTATTTTTAATTAATGAAATTTTCTTCGTCCCAATTAAAACGACTCAAAATTATATGATACTTACGCAAAACAATATGACACTCGAGTTTTAGTTTTAAGAGCCACTTGGCAGACTTGCATACTTGTAAACCGTTTTATTGCATCTTAGCAAGGGACGAATTAGGAATTTTGTTGTAGTTTGGAATAACTTCAATACTGTAAGATCATAGAATTTCGATTTTTTACTTACTCGCTGCAGTACTTTAACTGTAGCTTATGCATTGTTACTGGTCTCTCTTGCTTAAATGGTCCTCTCTTGCTCTGTCAGCTAACCGCAGTCAAATTGAGTGAGAGCACTTTAAACGAATTGCTTTATACTCTCAAACGTTGCCTGAGAGTCAATATACCTCAGTGATTGCTGCAATTGACTGATCTCTATCTCTGATAGACAAAAGTTAGACGCGAGGTAAATATTGCATAACTGTTAACTGTAAGTGAATTTTGGGTGACAAGATTCTTACATTTGTATGATGCCTCACGCTCTCAAAGATATTCTGAAAATGGAAACCGTTCACAATAACAAAAAATTACAAACATGATCTGGAAAAGTTCTCTTCTCAACGTTGGGCTTTACACGTGTTTGTGAGACCTCTAACGTTAACAAAAAATATAAAAGGGAGAATCATTCTTTTATGTTAGGTTTACAAGTTAGCTAACTGATAGATAACGAAAGTACAACAATATTTCAAATGATCGTGTTGAAGTTCCTTATCTGATTAACGCATATTATGACACTATTAATTTTTTTTCTTTACAGTCTAACATCAGCTTTCTAACTCATCGTGCGCGCATCTTGAGTAATTTAGCTTAACGTTTTCAATTTTCATATTGCCAATTATAATTCCAAGTTGTTATCTGATCAATTAACATATATTAACTTCCTATTAGTTCACAAGAGTCTGAGACAATTGTTTGAACCGATGCGAGCCAAGATATCATGTCAACGTTTTCTATATATTTTTAAGGGATTTTATACACTCCTTTTAGAAAATTTTTATGCTAACTGACCGAGTAAAGGTAAAGTTAACCATTTTCTTTTTCGATATGCACTGTTCAATTCGTAGGATGGATTAACTTATAGAATATCAGTCTTTCTTAGTTATATAACAATTGCTCGGTGTCATAAAAATTCTATTCATTGATCAACTATACTGTATACATAATTGCGATATTAGAGGATTCTTTTAACCTTAAAAGCTAAGGCACTTTAAAAAGAATTTTGAAAATGTTTTTAAGCGTGGAGTGTGTCTGGTTGGAATTACTGGAAGTACGTTGAAGATTTGCCATACTTCCAATGAGTTTTTTTTGTTATTTCAATGAACTACAGGCACTTCACTACAGTCATGTTGCTGATCGTAAGAAAATAGACAAGTATATTAATTAAGTCTCAGATATTTGAGAGGCTACTCACGGTTATATTCCCCGATTTCTAACAGCCAGCCATTTCTACGATTGACGGCTGGTATCTTGCGAAACGGACGCCTAAAATAGTTTGATTACTAACAATGCGGTTGCTTGGTTACTGACGTCTCGAAGATAGAAGAAAATGTCTTCAGATATGAGATCTGTACCACACTTAAAAAGAAACCGATACGAAAAAAAAAAAGATGTGTCAAGAGCCTATAAGAAAGAAAATTCAAACTCCATGACTTTTGGAGTAACAGTTCGTACCGCATTTTCGGTCAGACAACACACAGACTGGTCACAGGGAACTTACTGGCGTGCCCACATGCTAAAGTAGTGTACTACATGCGTTTTAAATAGTGCATGGTTGTCGAATATAGGAAGCTGTTCAATATTTGTTTCGAATCGAATGAAGGAAAATGCCGAATTTGGAAATAGGAATTTGCTGAACAGCATAGTACTTTTTGTGCAGTTTAAGAGTTGCGTGATCAACTCTCGTTCGGAGGAACCTTGTTTAAAGTTGCATCCATCCTATTGTTTGAGATAGCAATTTCACGTGATATAGGCTTGCGTTTCTTATTTTATTATTATTTTTTTGCATTCGAGATTCCATATGCGTTATTTTACAAATGCCCAGGGTGTTGCCGTTTTACAAGAAACACGCAATCATGCCAACGGAGACATTTAGACCGCTGTAGTACTTTAGTCGACTTAAAATTCGTTAATAGTTTCATAAAATGTTCTTTGGGTGAGCAATCTCAGAATTGTAAAATTTACCGTCATGCGTCTCACGCTATTACCTCTTCAGTGATTTTATCATTAGGTGGTGCAATTCTAAGGCAGGAGACGCCAAGCGGGTGATGGCTGGTGCCTTAGAGTTTGAATCGGTAAACCGGTCTGAATGAATGAAAAAAAACGGTGCTTACAATACAGAAGAGTACTTTTACTACAAGTCGCTTCACCAAACAAAACCGCGAGAAGGTCCGGCTCTGTGCAGACGTGGCCAAAGAGTAGCCATTCATGTAATTGTCTTTTCAAATTATCAATCATGTGGTAAATCATGAATTAACTCTAGACACATAATTATCTTTTGTCGCTTTGGTAAGCATGCGAAGTTGAGTAATCTTGGACTTCTGAAGGGTTACCAAGCTGCAAGTATTCTTCCAGCGCCCTACATTCAACATGACTATCGCCCGGTGGCATCTTACATAGCATTGGGGTTTGCGGTTTTGGCTATTTTTCAGATCGGATTTTTCGATTTTTCTGCCAAAAAACGTCAGTTTATCGGTCATGTTGTTTATTGCGTTTTGCGGAGTTTCAGTTTTCAGCATTTGGTTTTCGGTTTTCGTAAAAAATTTTGCGGGTGCTCGAATCTGGTATCCGATGTGGTTTTCGGTTTTTCATATTGAGGTTCCGGTTTCGCTTCGATCTGAGCAGCATTTGCACGCCTCTGCTGATCTCGAATAGCCGCGAAAGCTATGTTGCTCCACTTGTAACCACAGTATCCGATCAATTAGGATTTTGACAAGTGAGATGTACAAATTTATCGGTTTAGACGGTTCAGTTTGCATGTGGTTTTCGGTTTGATCGAATTTTTTTGCAGTTTTGCGATTTCTAATAGACCCCAGTGCCCCCCCCCTGGAAAAGTTCGGACTCGGCGCGTTTGAATTAAAGCTGTTCAGATTAGAAAATATCGAAGGAAAGGCTGAAAAATTTGCAATTGTAACAAAGACTCAGCTGGAAATGGAGCTGCCCTTTTTGCCGGGAAGTGCAATGAGTGAGCTAAGTGCTATGTATTTTGTTTCATCCTTATGTTTAGAATCTTGTCGAGCAAGCGAGCGCGGGTTGACCACATGAGCCCTTTTACATTACATGAGTAAGATTTCTGATTACAGTAAACCCTGTATGAAGCGGACCCCATAGTAACTGGACACAAGCATCAATAAAGATATATAAAGCTGGATTTTTAACACCAGCTTTCTACTCTCAGCCCAAGCAAAGAAAACATTCCTATGTGGAGTTTAACAGGGAGCAAGCAACTCCTGACGACTCATGAACGCCTAATCCTGTCACCAAGAGCCGATTGAACAGTCAGTCAGAACATTCCCCTGGCATCGATGAGCTGCAAGCAGTCAGTTTAACTTTCGAAAACGACCTTGATGTCCCTGAAGTGCAGGTACAGGACATACAGCAACAAGATGAGTACGAAAAACCAATTCAGACACTGGAAGAGACGGTGAAGTTGAGTTTCAAGTAGTAGTAAGCAAGACATGCATGATCAGATCGGGAAGAGCATTACCTGCATTTATGAGGTCGGTATTATTTGATGGCTATATTTCAATTACACATACAGCGAAAATTGGTTGATAGCTAGCACTTACCTTCGGTTAGATAATTACAGTATTTCCTTCAATGTCTGTTCCTTCTAACTAACACCAGGGGTGAAGATTATGTAAATGAATATAATTTATACCATGGTTTTAGTAAAGTCCGAGCCACCAAAACTGTTTGGCGTGCTGGAGTAAAGAAAATTCGCGTTATGATGCAATATTTTTCGTTGTAAGAAAATGAAAGTTAAAAATTAACTAAAATTAGTAGTTAACTGACAATTGGCCGAAAAATTAACAGTTAACTGATAACTGGGTACCCCCATTTGCACCCTCTTAGTGCCCTCTCGATTCAAGGAAGCGTGCTGTGGAAATAAGGGTTACACGCAATAACTCATTGTGCTGAGTTCAACTACTCCAAGAAAGCATTTGCTTTCATATTATGGTTTAATTTCCAGAGCAAAGGAAAGGTAGGAGATCATTTTATTGGAAAATACCACGCGTTTTTATTTGATCGATCAAGCATAAATGATATCTGGCGGTAGATCCACCTATGGGATACCCCGAGATTTGGAACGTTACGGTCAAGTTTTCCGAAGTCAAAATACAAATTGCAACGATTCGTAACATCATTTACAAAGTGGAATAAATAATTCTCAAGAATTGCTTTTCGTTCCCATTCAAACCGTTTATCGATCCCACTGTTTACCACGTAAAGTTTAACAGATGGAGGGATTCTCAAATACGTCCTTAGTGGCTATAGTCAGCCGCCATTCATGATTAATTATTGAAACGAAATTTCACGTTTGGTTAGCTTTTTACATGTTGGCAATTAGCATACGTTGTCAGAAACAAATATTGTGAAAACACTTAAAAACGAAGATTAAATCTAAAATTCGATACCAATTAGTTTTTTTTTTTTTAACTCGAGGTTGGAGCTTTCTGGACATCGTAAAAGTTAATATGAATGCTGTATCGTTGAGGATACATACTCATGCGTTCAATGGAAATTAATTCAAAGTTTCATTACAACTTGATAAACCAGTTATTCAAGAGGTTTATCAAGTTTAGAATGATGTTGATATTCCAATCTTATTTTGGGAGACTTTGCTTGATGCTATTGGAGATTAGCGCTGCTCCTTACTCCAATTTTTTCATTCCTCCTCTAAAACGATGTTTCAAAGAGAACGCGGCGAAAATCACGTAACACTGCCATTAACCGACGTGAACAATGACGACGAGGAGCCAAAAGACAATTTCAACTCTTACGGAGGTGATGCAAACGATGAAGACGACGCTGAGCCCCAAACGTGGGGAAACAAGACTCAGTACGTGCTGGCAATGTTAGGTTTTTCTGTTGGATTCGGAAATGTTTGGAGATTCCCTTACTTGTGCCAAAAGAATGGAGGGGGTAAGTTTGTCTGAGTCATGCATTGAGTACATCTAGGCGTGAATGAAAAAGTGATCTTTTTATGTATGCAGCTGTTAAAACGTCGTTCTTGCTGTACCAGCTTATTGTCATCATTTGCAAGAAATTGAATCGATTGATCAAAATTCTGGGATCTCAGCGGATAAAAGTGGCAATTAAACTGGCTATGTCGTAAAGAGTGTCAGACCGTGGTAGTGGCTCGAAAAGCGGAATGTTTACAGATTTTGAAAAGAGCAGGAAATTTGCATAGATCGATATCGAAGCAATAGATAGAGACTCTCGGGGAACAGATCCAAACGGATGGAAACCCCTTCCAACCAATAATGTATATCCAATAATCTCACCAGGATCTCTATAAGAATATAAAATTCAATAAAGGAACGAAGAATTTGCGAATAAAGAAACAGAAGAAACGTTGATATCAAAGTGCGTAACGTGCATTGTCGATTGTTTCCAAAATACAATGCAATCTCTGTTTCACATTAGTTAACAAACATACTTTAGTATCGTAACCCAGTAAGAGGACCCATGGTTCCATCTGACAACTCGTTGAAATTAGTGGATTACCAAGGATTGTACCTGCCATCTGTTATCTTGAAACTCCATTTTAAAACCGATAGTCAGTCCATGTTAAGAATGTTTTTGTTTTAATTTTTAATGGCTGTAAATGCCTCAAACGACGATAATTCGAGTTGGCTGCGGAAAAGGAAAAAGTTTAAGCAGTACATCCGCGTTCAAGATTTGTTTTCATCTTAACTGTGAATTTTAAGTGGATCACGCAAATTATACAAAAAAAGTGGTTATACCGGTTTCACATGAATACTAACTAGAGCAATTACCACACTTTATTTCATTTTACGACCAAAATAAGCTTGTCTAACAAAAAACAATTGAAGCAGCTGTCCGTGAAGGCGCCACGCACCTTTCTAGATCATGACTTCGGTTGCTTTCACACGCACCTCATTGTTGACTGATTTGGTGGCGCGAAATTTTTTTAACAATTTTTCATCACAGTGTAATTTTGGTAAGCTTAAGTTTTAATAAACATTGCTGGGACAGCCGATACATTTGCGAAGCTGAACTCTTCTTTCCTATCGCTTTCATAAAGATTTTTTTAATCATTTAGGGATGCAACATTTTTATTCTAGGATAATGAACGACTCCACAAATGTTACTGAAATGAGGTACTTAAAACCTTGTGGCCGGCAAACTTCCCTCTCTCTTTCTTCAAGGCCTCCCTGTGCCCTTCCACCCCATTCTACCAAGATTTTGTACACAGAGATTTCGGTCTCCACAGAAAATACGTGGCTGGTTTAACTAAACCACTAACTTAGTTCACCAGGACTGCCACACAATATATAAACCTCCACATTGTCTCGAAGTAACCACAATGTTGGACTGTCCCAGCACGGTGATGTGGTCACTTCGATCGCAGCAGAACAAGAAAGAAAACCAGATCTCAAACGGAAATGTTTACTTCTTCTTCAGGTGCATTTTTGATTCCATACTTCATCAGCCTGATCTTTCTCGGAATTCCTCTTCTATTCATGGAGCTTGCCATCGGCCAAAGCCTCCGTCAAGGTCCTATTGGTGTATGGAAAGCTATTCACCCCTACTTAGGTGGTGTGGGGTTTGCTTCAGCGGTTGTGTGTGTTCTGATCTCCATGTACTATAACGTGATCATTGGTTGGTGTTTTTATTATTTGTTTGCGTCGTTTCAAGACCCTCTGCCTTATTCTTCTTGTCCTGTTGGCCCGAATTGCACCGTAAACGAAGAGTGTAAATTGGCAGGGCGGACGCAGTATTACTGGTATACGAAGACGCTTGGGGCAACAACTTCCATTGAGGATATGGGTGATTTCCAGTGGCATCTGTGTCTTGTGCTTGTATTAGCATGGATTGTTCTGCTGATCATTATCAATCGAGGAGTTCAGTCTGCTGGAAAGGTAAAGCCTTACGATTCCTGAAACATAGTTACCTCATTCGCTCAAAGCAGTCTGCAGTTTTTAGTGATTAGTTTATGCTCTTCGCAAAGATTTGGCATTTCTGCTGATCATTCGTCTCTCTTTTCTTAATTCTTAGGCGGTTTATGTCACTGCTACACTGCCATATATTGTTCTGGCTATATTCTTTGTAAGAGCTGTCACACTAGAGGGATCGGTTGACGGAATCAAACACATGTTTAAGCCTCAGGTAATCAGAAGATGATATTGTTGAATTCTTTCCTGGACTTGCGTGTTTAAAGGTTTCTTTCTGATCGATGTTCAAGTCAAATTAGGGCTGCAGTTGATTGGTCTAAATGGATGCGAACTTTAAGCTCATGTTTTTTGCCAGGTAAAAAGGAAAGATCACTAGTAAAATATAGACGAACAGGCTAGACATGACGAAAACAAACTTCTTGTGTTTTAAAGGAATATGTATCCGGTTGTCAGATCTTGAGTCAACTCAGTTAAGCTTTAATGAAAGAACTTCAGGCTGAAGTTAAATCGTACTCGAAAACAAGCTGTGATTTACCTCCTCATATGATAGTATGGGCCATCCTTACTAAGGGTTGAAATGCACGTGAAGTTCAGAACAAAAAATGACTAATGTAAACGTTTCTTTCAGTTTTCCAAGCTAACCAGTCCTGTGGTTTGGTTAGAAGCCGTAACTCAAGTATTCTTTTCCATCGGTGTTGGCTTTGGTACTTTCATCGCCATGGCAAGTTACAACTCAAAGCATAACAACTGCAAACGAGACGCCATATTTATATCGTTGGCTGACAGTTTTACGGCAGTCTTTGCGGCCCTGGTGGTGTTCTCCGTCCTCGGCTTTAAGGTGAGGTGTAACGATCAATACAATTTGAGCGCAAAAAAACTGAAAATAACGAATAAAAAAGCAACCTTTAAGAGGTAGACAATGAAACACATGACAGAGAATTTGTGACTTAGCTGTGCGATTGAACGCACGTCTACTTTGCAACTTCTGATGCGGGATACCACTTCTCTGAGGCAAAAATGGTGATGGTGTTAAGTCTTATTTAACAAAAAAATGTGACAAAGTAAGGTATCAAGTGAGAGGTCATAGACAGCTGTTTCGAGTCTATTGAACCTCAACAGTTTGCTATAACCATTTATATAAAATGTCTGACGGTCAAAGCAGATTAAACTTGCGGGATGTTACTGTGCAAACCGAGTGTTAACATCAATATCATCGTCGTCGTCGTCATCATCCAAGAGCTGAATGAAATACATCTGTTTCTGGTCAGTTATTAGAAGCGACCGTAAGATAACGTACACTATGAAATGAGTATCAGCGGAAATAATTTCCCTATAGACTATCATGCACTTCCAAAAAAACTTGAATGTTGAAAAAATGGGAATTCTGCTAAGATTTATTGAGTAATAGTGCTTGTCAGGATCACAGTTCAGTTCTGGTGCGCTCACTTTCCTATGCCGGAATAGTTATCTTGCCCTCTCTGTCCTATAATACCTAAGGAAAAAACCTTTTGATATTTAAGAGCCTTATTATGGCTGATTACTAATACATGAGTCTATTTCAGGCTTATCTACCATCTAAATACCAATCACATATGATTTCACTTGCATCTTGCTTATGTTCATAGGCACACGACTCATATACCCAGTGTTTGACACTATATGGTGGGGTCAACAATACTAAACTGCCCGCTGAAGTGACGCTTGAGAAACAATGTCATAATCTGGAACACTGGCTATCTAAGGTAAATCAGAGTCCATCGTTCATCAAAAGAATCTACCATTCGTTCAGATAGACCGGAAGGTCTGTCTGACAAATAAACCGTCTGTCTGACGGACAAATAAACCGACCGACGAACAAACGACCGAAGAGAGACAAAGTGAAAAGGGAAACTGTATCAAAAGAATCGTGCCTGTGGTTTTTTCATAACATCATGAGAAAGCTGCATAATTTCTTTTTTTACTTGCGTAAGAACAAAATCGAAAGTAATTCTGTTAAAAAAATCATGATAAATTAGAAACGACTATTGCATCTTTTGTCTTAAGACTTTTAAAGGTTCTGGCCTCACTTTCATTGCCTTTACTGAAGCGATACTGTTGATGCCGGCTTCACCGCTATGGTCTGTTCTTTTCTTCGCCTTGTTGTTGTCTCTTGGTCTTGGTAGCATGTTCGGTATACTAGAGGGCGTGCTTAACCCGCTACACCAACAGAAGGTACTGCCCCTGCGTAAGGAAATACTAACAGGTCAGTTCTGTTGAGTTGAGTTGAGTAAACAGCGCGAGATTTCTCGAGGATTCATATGCAGTCGAATTGATTGGCATTCCCATTCATAATAATTCTTGTTCCTTCTTGGTTTACCGTCAACATTTTTGTATTTTTTCATCATATCTCAAAAATATTTTGTAGTTTCCTTTATCATGAAGTTAAATTTAGTTGAGCGTAAGAAATTGATTTGTTATTGCGAGCTATAGTTCCTTAAAGGTAACACCGCTGAGTTTTGTGGGAATATCGTAGTGAGCTGCAACGAAAACCTCCTTGCATGACATCGAATCACAATGAGTGAAATGACCTTGTCTACTTCTGCGTCGTGCATTCGACATCGGCCAGAATTTTAATTTTCTTTGGTTTCAAACAGTCTTCATTTGACCGAAAATTACCTAGCTACCTGTGTAGTAAGTGAAGTCATGCGGAAAAAAGAATCATGAAAAGTAAAGCAGCTAATTGAGAGACGAGGACTTTATTTTATGACCACGCCGCAGCTGTTCTTCTCTTTTCTTCTCCTTTCTTCTCTTTTCTTCTCTCTTCTCTTTTCTTCTCTCTTCTTCTCTCTTCTTCTCTTTTCTTCTCTTTTCTTCTCTCTTCTTCTCTTTTGTTCTCTTTTCTTCGTCAACAAATCAGATGCTAAGCTAGAACAATGTCAAATCCTGTCTAGGTCTTACATGCCTTATTTGTCTGGTTGTTGGACTGCTATTCTGTCAGACGTCTGGGGAGTACTGGCTGCAGATGTTTGACAGTTTTACTGGAACACTTCCGCTTCTGTTCATCTGTTTCTTCGAACTTATTGGAGTTGCATGGGTGTACGGTACTAAGAGGTAAGATCTGGAGCCCGATCGAGTAATAAGCTAATGCCATAAGCTGGAGTTCATCCCATGTGGGCGTGTCTTAATATGTGGATGTTTGTTTGTTTGTTTTGTTTGTTTGTGAATTTGTTATGACTTCACGTTGCAATATCGCCGCATTATTTAGGCAACAAGTGATGCGACTAATTGAAAAATCTAGCTTGTCACTTTTAGAAAACTTTTGGTGTATTATCTTGATGCAACGTCACTGAATTCAAAGCAACCACTGAGAGGAAGTATGAGACAATGGTTGGAAAGTTAACCACGTGACTAGCATTTCATTTCTCCCTACAGTATCACCGCTAATTCAAACGATAAAATAGTAATTATTTTTACACGACTCGGGCAGTCAGAGGGCCAATAACTAAAATCAACCAATCAAAATGCTCTATTGCCGGTCAATATTCTCTCAGTATTGGACCGGGCACTGTCCCGAATGGTCCCGAATGATACCGCACTTGTGTCCCTTGGAACTTCAGTCGTATAATAAATCTCTTATTAACCAAGCTTGCTCGGGACCGTACTGGAAGAATATCGGCCCTCGGTCTTTTTTGTACGGACATCGCTGCGCTCGGTCCGTATTGTCAAGACCTCGGGCCGATATTCTCCCAGTGCGGCCCTCGCGCTTGGTTAATAAGATATATCTAAATGAAATGATCGCCAAATACAGAGGCTCGATTGTTAATTAAGTCCTCCTTATCAGCACCATTGCAAAAGTGCAAAGAATAGGCTAGGGTAGAGAATATGTTAGAGTGTGGGTTGAGAGTGCTAGTACATGTGTGCCCTGTTCTTTGAAAAGAATTCGTTATTCATCAAACAGAGCCAGGCCAGAGTGAATCCTCCTCCGGTCTCTGCCGGTTTGTGGTGTCTCTAGCAACGAAGAGTGTTCTTAGGAGCATCTTTTGATTCTTCCAGGTTTTCTGACGATTTAGCGTACATGCTCCCCGATAGACCCGGATGGTTCTGGATGATAATGTGGAGATTTATGTCTCCTGTGATAGTCTTGGTGATCTTTGTCAGCAGTATAGTTAACATGGCAATGAAGCCAGCCACGTACTTTGTTTGGAGACCAAATAAGGTGACTGAATGACATTACTGTGTTTCTTTATTTGTACAGTGACGGTGATAAGGAGAAGGGAGGGGTGGGTCGGGGGTAGAAGACATGGGCGTAATCGTGTTGAGATTGTAGGGTTCCATAGATACTGATTTTATAAAATTTTCCGCGGGAATACTGCGCCACAAAGTTTCCTCTAAAATCACGTAAAAGATCGACCATTTCTTCGCTGGTTGCAGCGACTAGTTTTGAGTCACAATAGATATCAGTTTGTCTTTTTACTCAAGGTGACAGTCTGTTTCCGCGCCACACCAAACGCGAACTTTATGTGACAAATACTGTACACGATCACCTTGAAGACCTTTGTAATTGCGAAATCGTGACAAATGACAAAGTTCAAGAGTTTCCAGTATTTTAAGAACACAATTTGCTATCCGCGCGGTTTCAGTTAGCTGCACTAGGTGTCCCTTTTCAGACGTCTACAGAAGGAAAAAGCATCTCTTATCTTTCACGTCCGTCAATTACTGAATATGGAAAGGGAAATTACCATGAATCGAAACTTTGCAGTTTTTAGTGAATAAATTTTCAGTAGTGGACTATTTTTCAAACTAATTTGAATATATCAACAAAGTTGAAATGGTGAATTGGCCACCGTTACGGTTATAAAAGCTGACGTTTCGAGCGTTAGCCCTTCGTCGGAGCGAATAGAGGAATTGTGGGTTGTGTGTGCTTTTAAAGGCAGAAAATGGAGCTACGTGATTGGTGGGAACATGGCAACGAGAAAAAATTTGTTCGTGTTTTTATCGTTGCCATGTCCCCACCAATCACGTAGCTCCATTTTCTGTCTTTAAAAGCACACACAACCCACAATTCCTCTATTCGCTCCGACGAAGGGCTAACGCTCGAAACGTCAACTTTTATAACCGTAACCGTGGCCAATTTACCATTTCAACTTTCTTGATATATTCAAATTATTTCGTTACCCCCACCGACGCAGCGCCAAACAGTTTCTTTAGAAACTATCAGCCTTTATTCATTTCTATTTTTCAAATTGTATGTTTGTCCGTTTTGATATTTGAGGCGGAAGTGGAGAGCGTTCAGTACCCCTTCTGGTGTTACCCCATCATTGCTTTCCTCATCTGCGCATCCTGTCTCTGCATACCTGTGGTCTTCCTTGTAAAATCATGTCAACGTCTTATCGCCAAGAGGAGAGGATAAAAACCCACAATCACGTGTTTGTTATGGGTTCACTAACACACTAATGACTAATCTCCACAACCGATTCATCCTTGTCTCTACCATTAAAAAGTTAATTTGATATCGTGACATTAACTGCACATCTGAGATTCTGTAGACGTTTAAAACATGTGGCTCTTTAAATGTACTAAACATTCTGCTACGAAGACCGCAATTTTTAATCTCGCGTGGCAACCCGGCCGCCCGGTTTTGATTTGTCATTCCTACTCCCAAATTTCCATTCCTGGCAGTCGTTTCGGAAAATTAGGAGTAACCAGAAATAAATAGCCCCTGGAGCTGCACAAAAGGCACTGTAGACTCAAAGCAGCAGTTCTCTTTGAATGGTTGAGGTTAGCGTGTGCGGCCAGTTACCGAGCTATTAGTAAAACGGCGGCGTCCATGGTCAGATTTTCAACACATTTGAAAAAAAGTTCAGGAGAAATTATAACGTGGTTAGCGGTAAAGTTTGGATATACTTTGCTCTGGCGGAAATAGAAACTGCGCGTTATGTCCCGAGAGCATTCAGTTTTCCTTACAAGGGCATGAGAAGCCCGTTTATCTCAGCGCAGGCTTTATTATTGGAGTTGTATAGCAGAGTAAAGTCAAAGTAGTTTCACTGTTTATCATGTGGTTCGTATTTTTTCTTGATTAAAACTTTTCGTTCTGTCTCGAACTTATCGTAAAGAGTATCATTGTAAATTTAGATTTAATCATCGGCTACAAGGGCGGAAATGAGTCTCTCTGTGCATTTGCTTTTCTCCTTACCCTGTTACGATACTGAAAGACGCACTTTTCAAATGACAGCTTCCACTGATTATACTTTTTCTTAATAGAAAGTATTAGTCGAGAAGCCTTTTACTTAATTTGACACCTTTATTGCACTTTTTAATACCGTTTGTCTGAGGCTGTACAGTTAGTTACATTTGTATTCGTATTATGGTTATTATATAATGTCAATTAAATCCTCTTTAGTCTGTATATTTGTCATAAAAATACGCTCACGAGTAGTTTAAATTCTGTCAATATCAAGAGCTAAACTTTCTTGACTGATAAACTCCAAGCACTACGAGAAAGACATGCGTGGAGTGTAATTTTGGTTTTATAAACTGAGTTGATAATGTAACTTGGCCACCGTAAAGAGTTTCAAAGCTGACGTTTCGAGCGTTAGCCCTTCGTCAGAGCGATTGTTAAGTGTAGCTGAAGATAATTATATCTGTGAGTCAATGAGGCGCCGTGGATTTACATAAATTGACACTTTTGAAAACTTTTTGGGAGGAAACTTGTCAAGAAAGTTAAACATATATTGTATAGGCACTTCTACAAAAATCTCAGTGAACTCTCTTCGTCGCGGTAAGTTCGTTCACACCGGTTTTGTCATGTTATTTCATATTAAGTCCTGAAAAACGTAAATCAAATCAATTGGACATCATTTAAACTCTCATCAAGCACCCTCCTCGTATTTGTAAAAATCATGGAAATTCTCTTGTTACGATTCAAATGTTCCTGGCCGTCAGTCATCAGAAAACATCCGTGCTGATGAAATATTTACACATGAACCTCTATTGTAGGATCGTGAACGAACTATTACATGTTACTTGAGAGGGTTTTAAATTGATAATACCCAGTTGTATTTCACGATCGCCGATACCAAACGGTTCCTAGTTGTTTTTACATAGATGGTCTAAAATCACGTTTAGCGCGCTTCTCTGTTCACAAAGGAATTATTTTTCAAACCAGTCAAACTGGTTTTTGTGTTTTGGGAAAACTGGTTTCTATTTATTCTTCGTCCCTCGCTTTATGAGCCTTCAGACGAATTGTGTCTTTGAGCCTTGGCGCGTATTCAGAGCGATGCGATCGTAATGCCAAGACAAGATAGAAAAGGCGACGGTTTAGTAACTCTGAATCTAACAGCCAGCCCTGAGAATGGGTACGATGAAGCGGAAGAGGGCAAGCTCGATTTCGACAGAGACGCAGCAAGCGAGGAGGTGGATGTGGTAAAACCGCAGACTTGGGGAAACAAAGCTGAATATATTCTCGCTACTATCGGGTTCGCGGTTGGATTTGGGAATTTATGGAGATTTCCGTATTTATGTCAGAAAAATGGAGGAGGTAGGGAGAGATTTAATGGATTTCAAATTGAGTCATGATACCGCGTCTGCGGTCATGAAACTACTAATTTACTATGTAAATTGCGGCGAAGGAGGGAAAATCGTCACTCACTGATAGTTCCCTTCCGTTAGCTCAATGATTCCTGCTTGGAATTAAAACGCAATAGTTCGTATTATTTGGTTTTACTTCCTTTACCATTTCTGCTTTAGGTTCTTGGGCCATGTTTTTTTTTTTTTTTTATTGACGGATTAAATAATTTCCTTTTAGGAAAGCACATGTAAAAGAACAATAACGTTCACAAAATTCGAGAGCCCCTGACGCCCTGTTGAGATAAGAAATCGCATTAGAAAAACTAGCCTTATTAAAATAAAATCAGCGCACTTTTAGAGCTGTTATAGCCTTAGATATCACGTTAGTAATGTTTTGTTCCATCTTAAGTTTAGCTGTACCCGTCGCTCCATGGCTCGATTTTTTAAGCCAGTCATCTTTTGAAAAAAAAAGCAATTGATTGAAAATTGGCAAACTGACCGCTAGTAAGTTATTCTCCATTGTTTCCCTGGAAATACTTGGTGGAATTGCAAATACATCAGATCGGAAGCAACGTCGAACAACAGCTGACAAAAAGAGCAACTTTACGGCTAGATAAAATGACAAAGCTCACGCGCCTTTCAAAATTTAATCACATGCACATGTCGAGGAGTCCCGCATTGCTCTTTTTAATTACTAGATTTACTCTCTTGCTCTTCGAACAAAAAAAGAAAAACCGATGAAAATCGCACCTCCTTTGAAGCAGTGTAACCGAAAAAAAGAACTCGGTATCTCAGATTATCCTAGCGAAATTGTGATGTCCGTGCAATGAACCTTACTAACACGGCTGGAACGATGAATGCAAATTTTACGCTCGTCAGACGGTAACTCCTGGTAACAATAGGTCGACAGGACATTTACACAACAGGTTATATCTGTAAAAACAAATACCATAGAAAGAACACGGTTTGCCTTCTTTTCAATATGTCACTCCACTAGCCTTTTGCTGTATAGCTTTAAAATTTCGTTTTAAAAGAATTCTTGTGATACTAAGACGCTGCTAGATGGAGTTAGCTGGGATCACCTAATAGCCGTTCAAAAAGTTAACCGTAAAAATTTTTCCTATTTTCGACGTGTCATTTGTAAAATGTCAAAATGCAATGTTCCAAATTTAAGAAGGTATAATATTCTTTAACACTCCCAAAAAAGTGAAACTCGAAACTCTTTTAACGTATGCAATTTGCCTCAAAGTATTTTTCCTTTTGAACAGTTTCAATCCAAAATAATTTTTATGCGATTGAAAAGTGTATACGAAGAAGAAGTGATTTTGAAAAGCATTTAACAATAAAAAATTGCGCTAAAACTTTTCTTAAAATCATTTTAAGATTAAAAAATTAAAAAATTTCTAAAAGTGTATCTTTGTATCGCATGCAATCATCTTTATTCGATCCGGCGGCCTCCAGCAAATGTTTTAGCGAGTCGGAACCCTTTCACGTATAAGTTTCTCTTTTTTTCCTTTATATTGGAAAGGGTTGTGCATGCAATACACGCAAAATCGTCATCAGTTCACAGAACTGTTTCCATAATTTATGCTTTGGTTGGACCAAGCTCTTTTTCAAAACCAAAAATGGAAGTTTATTATTTCGGTTTGTGACTAAAACGATACTAAATCTCTACATGTGGGCAGAGAGGCATGGCTAGTTTGACCATTCATGTCTTCTCTAATCAAAGTTATTTTTCATTTCTTCCATAAAAGGTGCGTTTCTAATTCCATACTTCATCAGCCTGATCCTCCTGGGGATTCCTCTCTTCTTCCTCGAGCTTGCCATCGGCCAAGGCCTCCGTCAGGGTCCCATCGGTGTGTGGAAAGCTATTCATCCCTACCTGGGTGGTGTGGGGCTGGCTTCGGTGGTCGTATGCGTCCTGATCTCTATGTACTACAACATGATCATTGCATGGTGTTTCTATTATCTTTTTGTGTCGTTTCAAGACCCCCTCCCGTACTCTACTTGCCCCAGCGGCGTGAACTGTACGGTGAATGAGGAATGCAAACTGGCCGGTCGAACACAGTATTTCTGGTACACTAAAGCCCTTGGTACAACAACCTCCATCGAGGATATGGGTGATTTCCAGTGGCATCTTTGCCTTGCACTAGTGTTGGCATGGATTGTTCTGTTTTTGTTTGTCAGCCGTGGTGTCCAGTCTGCCGGAAAGGTAAAACATTAATAAGCCTTGCCAGTTAGAGTGGTTCTCTCAGGAAGAAAAGCAAGGCCGTTGTCTGAAGACGACTCCGTTTTGTGTTTTGTTTTTGTAAACCTTTGAGAGTTATCTAAGTTCTCATTTGTTTATAGGCGTTGTATGTCACTGCCACCTTACCATATATCGTGCTGGCCATCTTCTTTGGTAGAGCTGTTACATTGAAGGGGTCATTAGATGGAATCATACACATGTTCAAACCTCAGGTAATTATCGGAAAACCGTGTTCATTTCTACTGTTAAACCTTTGCAAAAGGACACTCACTACAGGCAGACTCCTCAGATTGGAGCATTTTTCACGAGTCAGAAGTGATCGACAAAGCACACAGTCTATAGGGTATTGTGCGAGTCAGTGGGGGAGAGGGTCAAAATTCCATCCCGATGGTGGATACAGTTTAGAAATAACATTTCCTGGTGGCCGGGAACCATTCTGATTGATTTCTCAATTCTCTTCATAAATGAATAGTTGTACCTATTTGGCCGATCAGTATGGACTGTGTGACCTCCATTTTTACTTTAAAGAACTTGGCCCGATTACTATAGCCGTAGTTTAGAAAGTGAGCCCACGTTCGAGAATATCATCGAAGACCGAACTCGCCCAAACGGGAGAAATCGAGCCTAACAAAGAACTGATTATTATCGGCATAATGAGGCATCAAACATCTGAAGTAACATGCGTACCTGGAGAATTTGTGTGGGCCAAAAGCCAAAGCAACGAGCAGCGAAGCTCTGAAAGGCTTGGTAAGGAAGACGGGTCTTCAGAACAGGACTTTTTCTTATTGTCGGCTTCGAAAATAAAAAAGCGCCTGTTATGCAGGCTACCACAAAAGTAGAGTATGTTATTGTGTGCGCATAGTGTAAACAACTTATAGAAAATATGAGATGATTTTTCCCGATCTTTAACTCCGCTTTATCTCAACATTTAGTTCTCCAGATTGACTTCACCTTTAGTATGGCTAGAGGCTGCAACTCAAGTGTTTTTTTCTGTTGGTGTTGGTTTTGGGACCCTCATTGCGATGGCAAGTTACAACCCAGTACATAACAACTGTCGGCGAGATGCCATTCTTATTTCTTTGACTGATAGTTTGACCTCAGTCTTTGCTGCTGTTGTTGTTTTCTCCGTTCTCGGCTTCAAGGTGAGGTTTCGGCCTGGAAAGGTAGATTTCTACCACACAAGTGAGCAAAAGGAACGGGAGAACGACTCACCCCGATAGCGTGTCAGGCGACTGGACTCGTTATGCGTTGGGATATTGCACGTAGTAAAAAGAAATGTGCAGTTCACTTAGTTACCAGGTTGAGGTTATAATAACATGTTTCTGCTGTAGTTGTTGTCGTCCGAGAACGGTTACAAGATTTTAATTCAAGTTTTTCAGCGTAAATAATTCAAAAAGACATTCTTCGTGTAGCTTCCGATGCGCTCTTTGTGACAATGTCAAAAAAATGCTTTTATCATTGGGCGTAATTGAACCCTTTCATGATTAAAGAAAGAAAAAATGACTGCAAGACTACCAATTTGTTGGCATCTTGATTACCTCACTGCGCCATTCTCGTAATACTTTCGTCGAGAAAAAACACGAGACGCCCTATTGAAGCTAGTTTCTAGGACACTGCTCATTCCTCTGAGAGGACTCCAATGGAAAAGATTTTCAAATAGTTTTCTTTTTCTTTTTTGACAAACAAATTCGTTTGACTTTATTTTCGTAGGCACATGGATCGTACGACGAATGTTTGAGTCTATACGGTGGCGCAAACAATACTCACCTTCCACTTGGAATAACAATTGAGGAAAAATGCCATAATCTAACATATTGGCTTTCTGAGGTAAGGATCTAAATAGTGGCAATAAAAGTGAACGAAGATGTTCAACAAGTAAATTTTTACTAATGTCTTCTCAGAAATTCGAAAATCAGGAAATTAATCCAAATTAAAGGACAAAATCAATAGTCTCTTGCTTCGAACCTCTACGACTGAATTGATTAGGATAGTACTGAAATATCAGTCTCGGCACAAACCTTCATTTTTTAAATGAATTTCCTTATCAGTCGTTTCAAGGTCCTGGCCTGACGTTCATAGCTTTCACTGAAGCCATCCTGAAGCTTCCCTTGTCTCCACTGTGGTCTGTGCTATTCTTCTCCATGTTGTTGTCTCTCGGGCTCGGGAGCATGTTCGGTATACTGGAGGGTGTGCTTAATTCCCTGCACGACCAGAGGTTGATTCCTCTGCGAAAAGAAGTACTGACAGGTAAATTAAGTTTTACTAACTTTTTAGCCAAGTAACATAACAGAATTTCCATTTTGTGATATATTTTTTTCATTTGAGACTAAGAAAACCGTGAAGACTGATTTGATTCTTACCAGTCAATAATACGCCGACTACCCAAAACAAACTTCAAGACACAAGAGCAAACCTCGAATCCAAAAACTAACCACCGCTCCTGTTTGCGTTTAGTTAATTGACACCCGATTGACTTTTTCCTTTTCTAACACAATACGCCATAAAACGTGGAGAAAATGCACGCAGCTAGCCTAAAGCGTGAAGAAAAACCTTGAACAACCATGTCGGCTTATACCATGATCTTTGAGTGACTGCTAGTCTCCTTTGCAGCCACGGTTTGTTGGTGGAAAGAGAAAGCGTTGTGTGACAAGACCAACCAAAGGCTGCGAAGGAGACGAGGTGAAAGTAGGAGTCCATAAACATCGTAATGGGCTCCTAGTAAATGGTTACGGATGTGATCTGTAACGAAAATAAAAAATTGGAAAAAAAAACGGGGAACACTTTGCACATTCCAGATGACAAAATATATAAGCTTATAAAAACACATTTTGTTGTCAGGTCTAACGTGTCTTGTGTGTCTGGCGGTTGGACTGCTCTTCTGTCAGACGTCAGGAGAGTACTGGCTGCAGATGTTTGACAGCTTTACAGGAACACTTCCGCTTCTGTTCATCTGCTTCTTTGAACTTGTTGGTGTTTCATGGGTCTACGGCGCCAACAGGTAATTATGGAAAGATAACGCTGTAATTTCATCCAAGGTTTGAAACAGCAAACGTTTCATTATTTAATGGAATAATTCATTGGGGCGGGAGTGGAAAAAAGAGTTCTTGTGATCCCAGTCCGCATGGTGGTATGGCCATCTTCACTGACCCAATGAAACAAATAACTAACCAAGCAAGTAAAGGTCAGAAAAGACTTCATTGGAAGTAAATGTAAGAATAAACTATGGGTGGTACTCATGTAATAAATGTTTCTCGCCCATGCAGAGATTATTCGCCGCAGATCGTCTGAAGCTATGCGCCAGTGATTAGCGCAGATTTAGGAAACAATAAGGTTTCTAAAAAGTTCATTTCTCTTGCTATCAGACACACCTTTACCTGTGGTGTCAATTTATACAGAACAATTATCCCCCTGCACTAACATTCTTTCACTGGATACTCAGAACGATCGGCAACACAGTTCTAAACTATCTTTCGCGCTTTGATTTGCAGGTTTTACGACGACATCGAGTACATGCTCCACATACGACCTGGCTTGTACTGGAAAATAACTTGGAGATTTGTGTCCCCTTCGATAGTTTTGGTCATCTTTGTCTGGAGCGTGTTAAACCTTGGACTAAAACCGATTACTTATTCGGTTTGGAACAGCAAGGAGGTACCGACAACACTTCCTCGAATATCTGCATAAAACGGAAGTTGGGGGCTTTGGGCAGAGCATTTCAATAACCCGTCATATTATAAACGAGCAGGGGACTGGGAACGAATTCTTTATTTCATCAAATGAAAAGGCTTTGCCCGTCGCTGGGAATAAAAGTCTGTTTACTCAGTTGAATTTTTTTCATAACACATAAACATAGTAAATGTGGAACGATTCGGACGTCCCTCTAATCCATACTAATCTTTCGTCAGAACAAATCATCACACGAAATTAGTGGAGAGAGGATGGCGTTATACAGTAAGATAAGATAAAACCCTCGCTCGGTTTCTGCCATCCTCGTCGAGCCTGGTCATAGTTTGAATGGCTTTAGTTAACTAACAAAGGCATTACAAAAACGTGCCTTTCATCCTTTCATGACTGCATAATCAAACAGTATTGTTTACTGAGATTATCGATAATTTCTAGAGGATTATAATTCATAAAAAACTATTGACAACTCCTTTTTCTTTAATTTCAGGGCGACGTCAAGAATGTGGAGTTTCCTAGTTGGTGTTTCTTTGTCATTGTGTTTCTCATCTGCGCCTCTTGTCTTTGTATACCAGCGGTGTTCTTTCTAAGACTGTACCAAAGAGTGACCTCAACGAGAAGGAGAGGTACGGAGATTGTGCGTGACTTGCTGGAATCGTCTGCAAAGAAACCGCCTGAGAAGAACACAGAATGACTTACATCTTTTAATCTCAAAGAGATTCCAGTTTTAATGTCATAAACATAGAATAAAACGGTATCAGTTCTCAGGTCTCTGAGAGTGGCGCGGCGCAAACTGAATGCTAAATGCTCTATTTCTGTGATGTTTCGCTTTCAAATGATGCTACAGAGACAACTCCTTTGCAGAAGCCTCAACCGTTTTGAAGAGCAAAAGCGATGCAGAGAAGAGAGCTAAGAATGAAGAATCAAATGAACTCAGTAGAATTTTCAGCTATCACAACATTCATTTCTTTGCCAAACACACATGTCATCACTCAAGTCGTCTGAATGTCTAACCACATTACCCACATATACTTTGTTTGGCGAACCAGGAGTTTCAAAATTCCTAGAAATATATGACCCATACCGGGCGCTTTTCATTAAAACGGTGGGAGAGTCACATTTAAGAATTAACAGACTCTTTCCTGCCAAATTTATACTTTCCTCGTATCGTACCCGACTTACACACTGTTAATTCACATCAAAGGAATTACGATTGGTGAAACCAAACAATTTATCCTAACAAATCCTAAGGTAGAATGTCTTTTACTAAACGTAAAATTTACTCTGTGATTTCTACGTTGTGCAAAGTATAAATACCGTATCATCATGTGTTAAAATTAAAAGGTACGGGTAACACTTTTCTGTAAAAGATATATTTAGAAATTAAATTCTAGGAACGTGTGGCGGATATGACGCCGACATCATACTGATATCTTGATATGTAAAGCGACAGAAACTAAAATACCCCTTGTGAACACATTTCACTTTTCTGCCTATTATTGGTTTCGAACTAAGGAAAATAAATCTGATGGGTCAAACCGACCAAGAAGGGCGGTTACTTAGCACTTTCAGTATCGAACGATTTTCAGAGCAATTCATCAATTGGTTCCTCATCATAAGTCAGAAGTTTCGAGGTACGATCTTTCAAGTTTGATCCGCACGAGTTTTCAAATACGATAGCTTTGGGCTGGTACACAAGATCTAGATCACCATCTTATATCAATAAAGACATCAAACCATCAACACAGGGAATAGCAGGGTTACATCTCGGAGACGGGGCCAGACGGGTATTTCGGTTTCATATGGCAAAGTGTCTAAAAAAAAAAAACAACCGGCCTAACGACAGGTAAAAGAAGGAACGGTTCAATTAGTTTACTTTGTCATCCTATTTCAACTTTCACGTACTGTTACGTTCCCACCTTGAATCTCTTTGTTGCGAAATAAACCCTAACAGAGCAGAAGGTAACTCTCTCTCGTGTTTTGGCGGGAGAGTAAAGCGGGAAACGTGGCAACCACAATGGAAATGAAAAATGTCGTAATTTGCATATACTACAGCCGCCTTTAAGTAATACACAGCTGCGTAGAAATCATTTCGATTCGACTTCAGTCCCATCGATAAGAATCAGTTTTTAATCGATATGGATCAGTTTTTAATCAACTAGATTCCTTCCCCTTCCACTATGACCCGGCAAAATTCAAACTTCGATCACTGATCGCTCGACAGATTTCAAGAGCGAAAAATGCACTTTTTTTAGTTTTCATGAATAAACAACCCATGAAATTTGCTTTAGGAAATGAACCGCGACGAGTAGTTAACGAAATGAAGAAATTGAGCATTGTGAGCAGCACTGTGGTGAAATCTGAACCAGGGTTAGAGATGATCAAATGTGCCTTTTAAATGGAAATAAAGCCCCTGAAATAGATCACTACAACAAATTAGTGATGCATGAATGAAAAAGCGGCGGCAGTTACTGTAACACGCTCATCTCTCACTGTGCAATCTTGAAAATGCCAATGTCAAGTCGTTGAGTATTGATTAAAAGAAGTCTCTTTCAATTATATATATATCTATATATTTCCCGGCGAGATTAGCACGTGCCTTCAAAACGATATTGAAGTTTCTCTTTCTCTTTGTAAACGAAACTTGCTAAACACCATGTTTACGGAAGGCTCTGTGGGTGAATTTTGATCAAAGCTCAGTTGAATCGTATCATGCTATTATTTCGCTCCAACAATTCATATTTTCAGAGAAATATCACGCAAAGACCAATGAAAGGAAGAAACAAGTGCGTCATACATTTCGACGCAATAGATACAGGTAAAACCAGAACGGTGAAACACCCAATACCGTTGCGTAATAGAAAGTGAAATATCGGAATGAACAAAGGCGCTGATTGGCTACCTACCTTCCCGCTTGATTTGACCTATTGTCCGTCTGTTAATGCAAATTAAAATTTCAGCTGGGTTGACTTTAGCATCGAATTATTGGTACGTATTCCACGTGGTGTTTAGACGGTGATTATTTGCGTCCTTTGGATCTCTATTATTGGTATGTTTAGGGTGACTTTTTAGTAGATAGATCTCATGCTTGAACTTATTAAGACAGCTCTCTGCGATTACTTGGTCAGGAAAACCGCACAGAGACCACTGTAGAGTTTTCAAAGTGATTCAAAACACACGGCGAAGCGAGGCAAAAGGTACCTTAAACACGGGAAATTTGATGATTTCAATTGACTACAGCCCTCTTCTTTCAACAAAAAGATCGTTCGCTACCTTTCAGTGACTCCCAATTCATTCACAACTTTTTTATTTTGGCGCCCTTGGTACTAGTAGAGTCGTTTTTACGCGCTTGCCGTAAACCCGAACATGTGAAAACATGTAAACACCGTTGGCGCTTTGTCGGAGTTAAACATTAATAACTGAAAGGGAAGAAATGACTAGTCAGAATTTGATTTCTCGTCACACCGGGAAACGGCTTGAGACAAAAACAACGGGAAGTGAACAAAAAATGCCAATGGTTTTATATGCCAAGGATGCGTTCTGTTCATTCGAAGCTCCCTGAAGCCCTCGAAAACGTATCTGCTATTTAAGATTCTTCACGTGACTTCTGTAGTGTACACTTGCACGTGGCGGAAGAACTTTTTTCTTGAATAATTCCATCATATCGTTGTGGAATTAATGGAACTAGAGTGATTTCATTTGACTTGAGTCATAGGTGATCTCTTGGCAATACTTATTATTCAATTTTCTGTACAGGTCTCACTAGAATTTGTAGTATTGTTATTTACCTCACTTGAAATATGTACTTTTTACTTGAATGAAACCTAATATGATCGATCAAATCACTCAGACTTTACCATTCGGCAGTTTGTTTTGGATAACATATAAAACTGATATTTTTTTTCAGCGTTATGGAAGGTTTCTGACCACCTTTCGAACAATTTGTACTGTTCTTAACATTTTCGAAGATACGTTTTTGTGATGGAACAATATGAGGCAATATAAACAAAACATCGTCGTTTTAGGTGACACGGGATTGAACTGTGTCGCTATTTTACGGGTGACTTACTTAAGTATGAAAGATGTGCTTCATGATCGGTTGTATTGAATAGTCCATTTTACAGTTGTGTGCTTGGTTGCCAAGCCTTTGAATGGGAAGCTAGGGTTGACCATGTTATGATACAAACCTTGCTGCCTTTCAAATGTAAATCACTTTGTTATAATGCTAAGTAGATACAGGTCTCTATCACAACAGGGTCACCTTCAGCCTCACTCTGAATCAAAGGCTTGGCAATTAAGTACACAACTGTTAAATGGCCTATTTTCTCATAATGAAATATAAACATAGTCATTGGCATAAAAGTGAAATGCACTGTTGTGTGTATGGATCAAGACAACGTTTACCCAGTCAGTGTATGCTAAGACGGAGAAAATTTCATTTTAACTGAACAATTTCTCAAACCCGTCTAGCAGCCACTATTTTTGGGTGCGTGATTCAGACTCTTACAAAACAACCAGCTTTGCATTTAAAAAAAATTACTAGACATTTCAAAAGAAAGAAATGAATGATCGATAGTCCTTTTGAAAAGTTTTTATCTAATTTTGCATAATTATATGAGAACAAAAACAACGATAAGGAACAGTGTCTTATCTGGCTCGAAAACGAGGTTAGTCACATGAACCCTTAGCAACCAGGCCGGCCATGATTGTGGAGGTGTCTTTGGTTAAGTCACTATAGTTGTCCTGACAACATTTGCGTTTCAGTGAGGTTAAACGCTTTTTGAAATAATAAATTGATGCTGGTTTATGTAAGGATGTCTTAAGCAGCACTTTGCTACTTGGGGCTCTCCTCTTATCATGTGCAATAAATTGCAGGTAAATAGTCATGAACCGCCATAGTTGGGAGGTAAACCCGTTGGTTCTTGGCGAAACATTTGAATTCGGCACGAGTGAAAACAGAAAATTTAAAGAATTACAGTGGAGGATTTGAAATAAGAACCTGATTTCAAATCCACTCGGTCATACTGCTCCCACATCTTCAAAAAAATTGCAAATGCAGAGTTCCTCCGTTTGCCTGCCCTTAAACCACTGATAAAGGTATCCATGGTGTTTAGAACAGGCGTGAAAATCAAATTTGTTTCGAAACAGTTCGTCTCATGTTCACGTGATACTGTTTAGCCCCAAGTGTCGTTTTAAATGACAATATAATCATAATTTGTTGCGACAAGTGTTTGGTGCTGTAAGTGGAAAGTTTAGAGTTAAATTTCAAGTCACGGTATGTTTTCGGATTAGCACGCGATTTTGGTGGACCTGCTAACAAAAACTATTGTGCGAAACAAAATAAACACAATATAATTTGACTACTGTTTACTCGCGCAAAGTTGGTGGTTCAACAGTCTTTTATTTTTCGATCGCTTGATTTAGACGACGCAGAACTATAGATATCTGTAATATAAACAAACCATTCAAAATTCGCACATGATGTGCATGGACGTTGGGCCATGTGATTGGCAGTGATCTGTTTTAACTGGTAACGTACGCATACACAACAAGTCCAGCATAGAACTTCAAAGAATAATGGCGCATTGCTTTCAAGACATCCAGCTGAGGTGTATTCAAAATTTGTCATCTAATTTCCCATATTTATGCATAACAAAAACGATACGACAACAAAAATTAAGTAAATGGTGTTGCCTTGTCTGGAGGTGGTATGTGCAGAAAAATTCTCTCTCTTCTTCCTGCAAGGTAGCCTTGCAAAACGGAGAATTCTCCATTTTCCTCAAAAGAGGGTTAGTATTTATAGCAATGTTACTTGAGTACAGAAATTTCAAACAAAAATATGTTACCTTCAGCAGACACGCTTGATTTATGAACTTCGTGAACTAGCTTGCACTCCACGCATGCGATATATTTGTAACATCAAACACTGATTTCAACAAACGAGAAAAATATCGTTGAGACCCGAAATTACAGTACCACATCTCCAATGAGTTAAAAAATATTTTGAGAACCTCTTGACCGCGAATGTGACTCGGGAACACCATCAAATGAAATCAAGTGAAACTATCACTAGACTTTCAATTAAGGTAAGTGTGACTTTTTTTTGTTGCACCGTGATCCGTGAAGTAGGTTTTCATTCGCAATCTCACGGTTCACTTCACTGAAAATGCGCCAAGAAGATAAGAATCTACTTGACCTACTGAACCGTTTTGCAAAGACATAAAACTGAGTTACGTGTGTTTAAACAACAATGGAAGGCCTCGAGGCCAAAGAACCCGTGGGAAACCAGAATTTGTTCTTGTTTTCTTTTCGAAACCTTTGGTATACTGGCGCTAAAATTTTATTCCAAGCGACGCACAAATATATCCTCATTAAGAGTAAATGGAAATCGATAAGTATAAAAGTAGCTCCTAACATAGGACGTTTCTGTATTGTTAGTTGTCGAATCACGTGGCAAACATGGTGTTTTAATTTACTTGTTATGGAATTGTTTCGCTTTCTTGCGAAAGATGAATGAAAACGTGTTTTGAATCGCCACCAACATAGTATGTGGATTCATAAACGAACTGTAACTTGCCAGTTCTGAAGCTTTTTAATGATGTGGTGGCGAATGACGAAATATCAACTTTTGATCCTGTATAATCAAACACTGAATATTGAAATTCCAACTTGAGCTTGTCTAAGTTTAGCGTGTGCATCTTTATGTTTATGTTTCCTGTGCAGCGAACCAACTGATACTTAACAGGATACTTAGCGGGAAAAATAAAGGAATTTGTTTTCGTAAAGTTTCCAACAAGATTCCAGACGCTCAGTGTGAAATAATAAAAGAAAACAACATTTAAGTTCAGTAACGATTATAACAACTATTGTCTTGAAAATTCCGTGTATGTCTTGGAAGGAACCCAGACATCTCAGAGGCGTGACAGGTACAATAGCTATTATTGGTTAATATGCCACATCCTGTAAATGCCGGGAATAGACCGGTACACAGGTCACGGGTTGAAATTGTAATAAAAAGAGCTCTCTTAATCTTTGCCAAGTTAGTCAATTGCCCGGCTTTCGTCCCTGTGCCAAAGTGTCTGTCGATCAACCTTAGAAGGTAAGAACTATGTCATAAATATCATTCTTAAATCTTTCCAATTATTCATGGCTTCCACAGTTTGGCCCATTCATCAGTACATTTTTAAGTGGATCAAAACATTAGGTCAGCACACTTTTCTAGTTCGCAAACTCTTTGAAATGGCCATATTTTGAAACCGAATTTTCTCATAAAACATCAAAAAGAATAACCGAATCATAATTTTGATTTTCAGGAACCTGTATTAAATCAAATTAATTAATTGACTGCACATTTCGATGGCACACAAGGAATTGGAAGACTGATTAATAACATCTCTGTTTTGCATTGCGAAATCTATGCGTGAGAATAATTGTGTACTACAGAAGAGTACGCTATCAAGCGCCCTGTATTAGGAGCATAAACAAACAGAAATCATTTTACCTTATAATCATAGAATTAATTTAAAATCGAATCATGTACTGTTGCCGTTATAATGCTTTTGCCGGCCACGACCACATTTTTGGATTGAAAGTCCGGCCTTCACAGATTTCAAGCTCGGTTGAACAAAACTGAGTTAAATTTGACAGCACCACTTGTCGTCAGTTTGTCGGCCGGCAACCACAATTTGGGAGTTTCGCTAAGTAAGTCAGAGAAATCTTTTTTCCAATTTACGAAAAACTTCCAACTTTCCACGAAATTGTGAGCGAGTTGTCGCGCCTCGCGTGATTTTCGCGAGCTCCATGAGTCCCAGAAGACATGATCAACCTTTGGCGGGAAATTTCTCGGCCCCCTCTTGAAGCGTCACATGGTATTTGTTTCGCTTCAGTGGTGAAAGTTGTACCACATGCGAAGTTTATAATACCTGAGCATCATCGAATTTACCTCCAAGTCAGGACCTAAAACGCTGTGTGGTAACATTCATAGGTCAGCTTAGCGCCTTGAAAACACTGGCTTCACCTTGAAGGAAAGAGCAAAAAGTTAGAGCCTCAACACACTTGGCTCACCTGAATAGAGTTGTCACATTGTTTTGACAGCTTTGTTGAACGTAGGCGCCATATTTGAACTCTTGACGTCACAAATAGACGAATTTAGTCGCCTGTAGGGGTTCTGTGCATGTGTGTGTGTGTGTGTGTGCTTTTTTTTTTTCAGCAACCACTAAGATAGGCGTTTGGTTTTTCAAGTAGGCGAAGGGACCTCAGAAAAGTTCAATTTCGACTACAAATTTTCCAAAAAGAGAGTTAATCTTTTCGACTCGCATGATCACTCTTTTTTTTTTTTTTCTAATATCGATACGGGTCAGCTCTGGCTGAGAATAGAGTAAGACAATTTTGTTCGAGTTTTCCTTCCTTTTTTCTCAAAAATTGTCACATTCATTTAAACCTGAGGGTACTTTTTACAGTTTAACCTGTGTTAAAGGTCAAGCTACAGCTTAAGGAAAAAAATCCAGTGATAAAAACTGTAAGTAACCACAGAATTCGAATGTTAAACATTTCATCCGACATATCATACTGTTAGCGTCTACGTTCCCAAAACGCACACTTCTGATTAAACGTGTTATAAACCTTCAAGAAACGGGCAAGTAGACTTAAAAGATAATATAACAAACGAATCTTAGCAACTTGTGAGGAAATATTCAGCCCTTAGCTAAAAGTTAAAGAGCGTAAATTCAACGCGAAGGAGAGCCATATGGTTATTACCATGCATATTAAGCAGCTTTGGTCCGCGTGAGCTGACCATCGTTTCAGTAATCACTGTTTTGTGTTGCAGAAACGTAAAGAGTGACTTCATCATTTCTAAGGATTACAAATGGCCAAAGAAGAGGATCTTGAGTATTCGGACACCAAGAAGATAGCCTTCAACGTCGAGACCGAGGAAATTGAGGAGATCAATAACCCGCATCCGACCACCGACATTGAAAGTAATGGAGTAACCGTGCGTATCTACGAAGCTGATAGCGACCGTGGCAAGTGGGGCAATCAAATCGAGTTCGTTCTCGCAGCCATCGGATTTGCGGTTGGTCTTGGAAATGTATGGCGTTTTCCCTACCTTTGCCAGAAAAATGGTGGAGGTAATATGGCCTTTTCTTTACTACTTGTTTTGTCGGCATCTAAGTAAAATCTTTCCACTAAGATGTTTACTGGTAGTAAAATGAATGCACAAGAAAAAGTTTTGAAGAAAAAAATCTGACCATTTCCCTAGCTACGAAATTATCTATGTATTTCACATGTGAATTCTGTTTCTACGGAGAGTACTTTTTCAGGTGTATTCATCGTGTTAAAACGTGATATTTTTAATTCATCAATGGAACCTTCCGCATGATAAATTGACTAATTTTACGACCAGGACGGAACAAAAGTTTTCGCTTTATTTTTGTTCTGAAATTCCTGTTCGAATTGAATTTTTAAGCTTTATCACTTTTGTAGGACTGATTATGCTTCACGACGTCTCTTTTCTGCTCTTATCCATTTTCTCCTTGTATTCTATTTACAAGTAAACAGAGCTTGTCCGCCATTCATTCGCATTTGACCACAATGACGAAGTGAAAAATAGCGATTCCAAAATACGCCATCATTCGACTAAGTGTATGTATTTCTTGAATATTTATTCTGCTATATTTCAACAAAAACTTAAATTCGAAAACATTTTATGAAAATATGAGAAAATAGAAAAGAAACTGTGAATTAAATACTACGCCACAAATTCACCTAAATCGATTTGCATGACCGCGAACGCAGTTAGTCATAAAATATAACTATCCTCACGCATAATAAAATAAAGTGGATTTACGGAGAAAAAAATCGCCGTTTATTCCTCACTCTTCTTTCTACCTCAAGGCTCTTTTTCAAGCCCATCACTACCACAAGAAAATCGAAGTGACGTTTTTCGCCTGTGCTATTGTAAGAACAAAATGTTCAGTTTTCCTCGTCGATCTCGTTTTCCGGCTAACTTCTGTTAGCTTGTTATCAGTAGTTATTTCACCATAAATTCTTATCAATCACAAAAATCTTTTTAATTCTGTATCGTTAACTCAAATCAAAAGGGCGAGTATTTCGAATAACAGAGGGCAATTTATTTTTCCTTAATCAATGACTTTTACGCCAACGTTCAATATCACGTGTATTTGTTTACGTTTTTTTTCTTCCCGCCATTAATTTCGAGCGCTATGTATCATGTGACGGGGAACTTCTTTGGGCGACGAGTTGCAGCAGTAATCGGCATACTTTGTTTTTCACTGTTTTACCTCAGCGGCCACTTTTTCAGTTCACTTTTAGAGAACATAAAAGGAAGAAAAATATCTATTTTTAAATCGAAAGCCTCTTTTCATCATTTTTTTTTTCTTAGCCATCAGGAATGATGTGATTCAGTACATCTGGAAAAAAATTATCAACCAATTTTTACCACTTTTAAAAAGAGTAATAAAACTATCTCCCCTTCTCCCAAAAAGAGACAGAAATGGTATTGTCATTTCGGAAAGCCTAGGACCAAACTGGTGTTGATTGTGTTGCTAGCTTAATTCAGCCATATCTAAACCGTGATCTTCCTAAGTTCAAAGAGAAATCAGAGGAAAATCTTGAAAATTGGGCGGACTTATTCTCAAGACTTCTTTTCGCCACAATTTTGGGATTCCTAGGACTATAGTCCATAAGTTGTGGGATCAAGTTATTGACATAAGGGAGCATTCATTATTTATGGGAGGGGGTGGGCTGGCAAGATTTTCAGTGAGACTAAATAACAAAATATCCTGACTCCGCTCTATGAGAATTAAAAATGTCATGACCCCTCTAGTGGTAATTGCAAAAATAGCGAGCCCCCCTCCCCCCCAAGACTATCAAAGCAGCTAGGTTAAAAGAAGTGAAAAATATCTTTCAGATATTTAGTGTTGTTGCAGAAACACCTTGAAAATACAGTTCTAGAGTTTAAAATCTAAAGTTGATGTAAAATGGGTGACATGATATAAGAGATATCCTATGTTACTGTGTCCAGCTTGGTATGGTACTGTCTGCAAAGTTAGCTATTGTTCCTTATATCTTCAATGGTGGGTAGTAGAAATGTTCTACAAACTTAAACCTACATTTGTAGATGATATGTAATAAAAAAAGCTTTTGACCCCCCTACATTATTCCCAAATTTGTCTAATGACCCCCCATTTTAGTTCCTGAATTTATCATGACCCCCCCATTATTCTTGCCAGCCCTCCCCCCGCCATAAATAATGTAGGCTCCCTAAAGGTATATTGAATTTCGTATACCTTACAACCTTGTTTGCATGTGGTTTAAATTTTCAGTGTGGTATACAAACGGCTATCTCTTGTCTACTTGAATACAAACGTAAGTTGGGGCAAACGGAAACTGCTCTCATTCACATATGCAAAGGGAACTAACGAGTCAACTTGAATACGGAAGTTGTGTTTCCCCCGCTGTTATGAAATCGGACAGTAAAAATTATTGTTACAAGAGTGCGTATAGAGTCTTTTACAAAATTAAAAGCAAACGCGTACACAATAAAGGCCGAAAGAATATCTTCAAACTTACCTCGGTTCTTGTTTTATTCTCGTCTTGTTCTAACTGGAAGGTAGTAGGCAGGAGATTCGAAGTAAATGTTCTAGTTACGGAGCGGAGACGAATTTCCACGATCGAATTTGGGCTGGAATATTCAATTTGTTTGGAGAGCGTTTTTTAAATTATCCAGAACTCTGCAGACTACCTCCCAACAGGCTTGAACCGATGTCACCGTAAGTCTACAACACAACACTGGTTAACAAACTGTTTCAAAACGAAAAGAAAGCCTGTAAAGTTGCACCTCTTTTGTCTAGAAATGTTTAACCAACTGACCATTGTGCGCGAAGAAACAAATAAAATGTAAATATCAAATAAATTAGCTGGGAAAATCGCGGCATAAAGATTGGCACCTGTCAATTATGAGCTTGTAATGTACGAGTGGTTTCCTTTTAGTTCATTCAGACTTTAGAATTTTACGAGCAGTGCACTTGTATTTTTCACTGCAAAGAAGTCGGATCATCATTATATGGTGTGATTTAGTGCTTTTCTACGAGAAAAAAGTTGCTCAAGGGAACGAAAGATTCCAGAAGTCATGAATGAAATTTGATCTTTCCACGTGCATCACATCCTTCACTGTTTGTTTTCATATGCCCCTCAGAGGTGAAGCAAGTGTGCAGTTGATAATCGTCCGTTCGCTGAGCTAGAGGTTCCTTTCCAGTCATGTCTCGTGCAAATTTAAAGGATGGCGTCGTAAATTTAACTGTCACGGAAACTCGGGGGAAAAATTTAGAAGTCCCGGAACAAAAATCAGCCAAAAACAGCGATGTTGTACCAGAGGTAGCTGTGGCGGACGAAAGAGGAGGATGGGGAAACAAGATAGAATTCATTTTGGCCACTGTTGGCTTCGCGGTCGGTCTTGGAAACATATGGAGATTTCCTTATCTGTGCCAGAAAAGCGGAGGAGGTATTTTATCTGACATCAGTTCTTGGCTGAGGCCTTTTTGTCTGGGGCAAACCTCAAAATGTAATCGGTTGAAAGGTTACTAAAACCATGGAGGTCCACCCCCGATTATTATTAATCACAGGTTAAAATTGGCGGACCGGCAATCTTATTTGTATTGTTGGTAATTGAATAACGCCTGTTTCAAAATTTTTCGGGTGGAAGATTTTATTTTACCTCCTTTGGTCTGAAGAAATTTACGCATGAAAATTATATTCAAAAGAAATTTGAGATCAGACCGGCCCATTGACGCTAAATTAATAGCATGAGTACTTGAAAATCGTGTTTGAGATATCTTATTAGCCGTGTTTTACTGTTTTACTTGGTGAACTTCATTGTTTAGTTTTAGCTATTTAGAAGCAGAAGGCGAAACGGATCAAAGTAATTTCTTTTGAAATTAGACCTGCGTGCGACACGTATTCGCTCGTTTAGATGCAAACGATTTTGATGTTTGTTTAGCTCAAGTACGTCTGCCTGATTTTATCAACGATAAATATTTCCTCCACAAAATACGAAGAAACGCTTTATCCAAAACAAACTGCGTGTCTCGCTTATCTCGGATAATTTTGTTTTTGTCGATTGCTTGTGTTCATATTCACGCCAAAATTCCCGCGGCAACTACTTCATTGATTTTGTGTTGTTTACCTTTTAAAACTAGAGCTTCTCACAAAATTTTCGGACGGTTGATATAGTAAAATACTTGCATACTAAACAAATGGTTTGGTCTGCTGTTGATCGGATTTTTGAGGGCTTAGAATGGTGCTCTTGAGGCAGTCACGCTCTTGGACGTGTGTGACTGGACTATGTTAAGGCTCTTTTGTGACAAGCCGCAACCCGCTACCCGCTTTTGTTTTGCCCAATATGTTTCGCGACAATATTTCACTATGGTTTTGAAAATAAATTTATTTGTGAAGTGACTGTTATTATTGTCAAATATTGTACTCATGGTCGCTTTGTTTGGTCACGTTAATCTTTGGTTATAACAGGATATTTATCAACAGATAAGCATAAATTAAATTTGGACCAGAATCTCTTGGCACTGAATTTTGATTAGGCAGTTCAAAGGCTAATTGCTGTTTCCTGACGGCCAGGTATTCACAAGAGGTCAAACTTGGACCACTGCTTCGAATAATCTTTTAAAGTGATTTTTCCTTGGTTGGATCAACACTGTTCACAGTAATCAACATTTATATGAACCTTGAGGCTAACATGAAGATGGTTAACAAGGTTTTGCACAGTGAAACTGAACTTTGTATCTTGTGGGAGTTATGCTCTGAAAATTGTTTCCTCAGAAGATCAATATTTACTTTGTTTACATTGTTTTATGGCAAAACAGATAAGAGACAGTCATATTTGGTTGTGCTAAAAACTCGCAATAACTCTTTTGTGATTAACCTAAGGACTTTTCGCACCAAAATATTTATAGTCACAAAAATATCAATCAGTGGATTTTTCTATCTTTTTAGTTTGTCAATGCTATATGTGCAGAAAGGTGCCCTGAAGATGGGCCTACTACTTTTAACTGTGTTTCTTAAAGGAATTTTTTATTCACGGCTTTGTCTCTTTACTGGCAGTGTACATGTCTTTACTAATAAATAACATTCCAGAATTTACTTCAGTCTGTCAATTTGAAAGAGAGATTTGCCAGAGGACCTTAGCAGAATGATCACAGTCATCAATAGTTCATATTCCACACAATGTTTGGTTATAAAGGTTCAGTAACTGACGGTCATCAAATATGATTCGCTGAAATTTAAATTTAACAAAATTAAAAATGATCTTGATGTTGTATAACTGTTCAAAACATTCAAGTAATGTGATAATTGAGCTTTTGTGAGTTTTTTGACAATGAGCCCAAAAGAACAATTGTTTTCTCATACTGTGTAATTTTGCATTGAAAATCAAAGATGAGACTTTGATGTGTTCAGAACAGGGGTAGTTCTATAAAACTTATTGCAGCAAGAGAGTCAAAGACATGTAAATTGTGGCAAGAAACACAAAAGGACTCCCCCATTCCTTTCTAAGAACCCATAACATGTGGTTTGGTTGCTCAAACATGAATAAAATACAACAAAGAAGGTGCCCTGTTGCTACTCAAGTCCCAAACCTGCTTCTGAATACAATTAGACTGTGTTTTCTAATGCATTACATTTTTGTCTTTGTTAGCTCATACAATAATTACCAGTAAATGATTATGAGTCACTACTTATACAAAACATGTTTTAGTCTAACAGAACTATTTTTCATTTACAGGTGCATTTTTGATTCCATACTTCCTGAGTCTTTTCCTCATTGGTATCCCACTGTTCTTCCTTGAGCTCGCCATTGGCCAGAGTCTGCGACAGGGATCTGTTGGAGTATGGAATGCCATTCACCCATACCTTGGAGGTGTTGGTTATGCCTGTGTTGTTGTCTGTCTGCTTGTGGGAATGTACTACAACATGGTCATTTCCTGGTGCTTCTATTATCTGTTTGCATCATTTCAAGACCCTCTGCCATATGCTGAGTGCCCCCGACTGGATAATGGTACATTGCATGAAGAGTGTGAGCAGGCTGGTCATACACAGTTCTATTGGTACAGAAAAGCCCTTGATGTAACTCCCTCAATTGAGGAGAGTGGAGGTCTTGTTTGGCATCTTGTCCTTGTGTTGTTAGTAGCTTGGGCGGTTGTGTTCCTCTGCATGATGAGAGGGGTTCAGTCAGCTGGAAAGGTAACTCATTAACGGGTTACTGTATGCTCATGTAAGACTATTGACGGGGACAATTTATTTCCCAAAATCTACTAAAACCTTGAAACCCTACAGTTCTAACTCTAAAGGTGCAAACCCTTGGAAATATGAAATTTGAAGATAATGAGTTAACATTGTCTCACACTGGCTCACTTTAGACTGCCTCGTCCAAATTTCTTTCAACTAACTGACTTAAACATAATCCAAAAAAATTGTGGAAAAATTCTGATGAGGATTCTAAGGGCATTGTTCTATTTATCACTTTTCAGGCAGTGTACTTTACTGCTACTTTCCCTTACATTGTCTTGACCATCTTCTTTGGTCGTGGTGTCAGCTTGGAAGGTGCTGGTGCTGGAATTACCCACATGCTGAAACCCCAGGTTTGTGTCTAGTCATTCTACAACATGTTTGTCAGGGACCTTTTAATAATACCATGTGTGGGTTTTCAAATATCCAATCTAATTTAATGCCACATGAGAGAAAGAAGGTTTACGGGTACTTGTATCATCACCAACTATGCCTACCCTGGGCTCGCGCTGGGATGCCACAAAGGGCTTAAGAAATAAGTAAAAAGGATGAAAGATTTCATGAAAGGATTAGTAAAGGGGGGAAAACATTGTCTTCCTCTGTCAGAGTAAATATTATATAAATAGGAAAGTTTGTAAATGAAAATACAAGGTCAGCAGTAGTAGGAGGTTTTTGGCTGGAATAGCATCATTGGAATCTCTATGTTTTCATTTCATGGTAGCAGCAAAGTGGATTACTCGTCCATTTCTTCATCGTCTCTGACTTGTTTTATTGCAGTTTTCAAAGCTTGCAAATCCTCAGGTGTGGCTGGAAGCTGCAACACAAATTTTCTTTTCTCTAAGTGTGGCCTTTGGAGGACTTATTGCCATGTCCAGTTACAATCCAGTGCACAACAACTGCCACCGTGATGCCATTATGGTCTCATTGATCAATTGTGGAACATCAGTGTTTGCCAGTATTGTAATTTTCAGCATCCTCGGTTTCAAGGTTTGTCTTAAGATTCCCTTCTTTCAAGTTCCGTACACTTCTATACTTATATCTTTCAACAGTTTTAAGGTGTGAATTACAACATGATGAAGATTTGGAAAGGACCTGCTTCATATTTGTAACTTTTGTGAGATCACAAATTTTATTCCAGAATGGATAACTGTTGTATGTTGCACTCACATTTTCCCCATTCTTTCCAATTTTTCTCCCTTTTCTCTTTCATCTGCATTATCTGCTAGTAACAGAAATCTAAATTCTAGCCTTTAAGTTGATGTTAAACCAGGTCTGGGGCGGATTCAGGATTTAGTCAAGGGGGGCTTGGAGGATTGTCTGAGGGCATATACTTCCATGGGAGATTGTGAAAATTAGGTCTTTGAAAACGTGATTTCCAGCATTTTTGAGGGAAATTTTAAGGGGTTTGACCAAACCACCCAAACCATCCCTGGATCTGCTTCAGCAGGTGATTTGCTCAGTTTTTTTACCCAACCTTTTAATTCAACTTTAATTGTATTCAAATCTGGATCTGTAATACTTTGTATTTTATATGCAATCCTTTTCATATCCTTACTAGAACTAGAGTATATTGTCTAACTTCCCTTCAGGGAGCTTTGTTATAGCATCACTTTAAGTTAAAAAGTATGATATTTGGTACATTTTAGGCCACTCGTTCTTTCCATGAGTGTCAAGATTTTTATGGACGTATAAATGACACCAATGGAACTGATTTGGTTGCTGAGAAGTGCAAGGACTTGGAACATTGGCTGTCCCAGGTAAGGTGGAGGTTATTTTATTATCATAACCAGAAGAATTCTTACAAGCTCATTGGATAAGAGCTATTTTTAACACGGGTACAGTCAGTGAAAATGATATCGATGATGTCAATCCAGAACAGCTCAAAATAATTATGTTACTGCTTAGGTCATTTGGATAACACTTCATTGCTTAAAGATTTTAATCTGAACATGTTAGAAGCAGGTCTGGTGGGTACATGTTTTGTTTTCAGCGGGGTGTGTTTAAAACACGAAATGGCGAAATGACGAAATGGTACCAAATATACGAGGCAAAGTTATAAGATATTACCGCTCCAATAGAAGTTGTAATGTTGCCCGATTTATTCTGTTTGGGAACGAGCATCTAATTTTTCAGTTTACCTTGTATCTATTTTATATAAACATCCCACGTCACTCCGTTTCCCTGCAAAGTACACATTTGCCAAATATCTCGTGTAAACTTCATCACGAAGTGAGTTCTGTTTTCATCATCCATTCCATGTGATTGCTGGAGCTCTAAGCATAACGTTATAGCCGCTGCTCAATGGTAAATACGAGATAAACAAACCGTTTTCTTCCCAAAACGCCGCCATTTTGATGAGGAATATCCTAAGCGTCAAATCTGCACCCTGTTAACAGAGAGAGACTGGAGTCGAGTTTACCGAAAGGTCCATGAAGACAAATTTGTGATTGTAGATGTTTCTTTTATTTGTGGCGATTAATCCACAGAGTAAATTTGGCAACAGATGGAGATTTCAGTGGAATGGTAATACCTTAGAACTTTGGCCCTTGTCTTAAGTGCCACTTCGCCATTTTGCCATTTCGTCGTTTCACCGTTTCATGTTTTAAACACGCCCTTTTCAGCACTATTGCTTTCACTTCGTTGATTCCCAAGCAGTAGTAGTATACCATTTATGTACAAGCAACAGACTTGACTATTATACAAAACCTCAAAATAAATACATAAAAAAACTGGATCTTGGTCAATGTTCTTATCTCAAATTTCTGGCACTAATACTCAAAATACGCATACCGTATTTTGCTTATCATTTCCTTGCTGTTAGTTTACCAGGGCCCAGTTGTTCAAAGACTGATTAGCACTTACCCAGGGTTAAATTTTAATCAAGGTTTCTATATTTCTTTGTTCAGAAGCTGTTTTAAGATAATTTTCTCAATTCTTCTTAGAGCATTCAGTCATCAAATAGTAAACAAATGGAATTAATCTGAATTTTATTTTAAAACTTTCAGATTTGCAATTAAATTTCACCGTAACCCTCGGTTATCTTAACCTACATTTAAACAACCCAGCCTCTAACCTCTTACCACATACCACACTGTTCACACTGTGACTCTCGCTTGGTTTAGTTGGTGACTTTTCCTCTAATTTTGTAGTCTGCATCTGGCCCTGGTCTGACATTCATTGCTTTCACTGAGGCCATTGTTAAAATGCCTGCCTCACCTCTCTGGTCTGTGCTGTTCTTTACCATGTTACTGACCCTTGGACTTGGCAGCATGTTTGGAACTCTGGAAGGAGTCATCACTCCCTTTTATGACATGAAAATTGTGCCATGGAGGAAAGAGATCATGACTGGTATGTGTCTTGGTTGTTATAGTAACTGTTGTGTGTTTAGTGCTACCAAAATGACGTCCTAAATGTCCAGATTATGCAGTACAGTATCTCATCAGTGATTAGGAATCTGCTTTGTCATATCATGTTCATCAGAGTGTGGGTATCATGAGGTAGAGAATGTTGTGAGATAATTAGAAAGCTTTTACGGCTCTCCTAGTTTGGTCACTGTGGGGATAACTGGTAATGTTAACATAACATAACGAATAGGATTTATTTGTAGGTATCATCTGTGTCTTCTGTTACATCGTTGGGTTACTGTTTACCCAGCATTCTGGACAATACTGGCTCCAGATGTTCGATAATTACTGTGCTACTCTGCCTCTGCTGTTCATTGGCCTGTTTGAACTTGTTGGTGTGAGTTACATCTATACAATTGAAAGGTGAGAGTACACCCCAATATAGGAAGAGCCATGATTGGAGGTGTTTGTTTTGTATGTGTGGCTTTTCTGCAAAGTGGCTCTGACATCTTGATCTTTTCTCCACAACAGGTTTGAAGATGACATACAGTACATGATTGGCTTCAGGCCACATCCATATTGGAGGATCTGCTGGCGCTATATATCACCTTTCCTCATTTCTGTTATTCTCATTGCTAGCATCATTAATCTAGCAATCACGCCCATGACATATACAGCATGGGATCCTAAACTTGTGAGTGTTCAGGCCAATTTTTTCTTTGTCAATCTAAACTATAAAAAAATTCTTAAGCATGATTGGTTATTGGCAGCATGATTTTAACACTAGTAGGATAGTCAATGCATCATCCTTGTAACTGGACATTGTAATAGAACAGTTTTTCTGCTCTGTAGTCATTCAAATTTGTCGATTAGTGGTACATGGAATCCACTACATCCTATTCTTGAATTGAAAGAAGCACAAATCTTTGATCACAGACCAACTACATGGTCAAAAGGTCACAATAGCAGCTAGAAGTTGTAGAAAAACTACAAAGAAGCACAGATAGAAAAAAATTATGAAAATACAGAAGAGCCAAAAGATTTTATTCCAAGGGGGAAGAAGGATACTTAAGGAAGGGTAAACAGTTAGCTTTAAGAAAGAAATTATTACAACTACAGAAAGAGGACAAGACATCGGTGAGGTTTGCATTACAAACTTAATCGTGTGCTTAAACTGTCCACACAACAAAATGGACATAGTTACAGTTATCAACTTGCAAAAATATTAGTATTTGTTTGCATGGAACTTGTAACATTTCACAAGCAGACAAAGATTAGGTGATAAATGTGATTTAAAGGGGTTACAGGCATAATTATTTTTACATGATATATGTAGGTGAAAACCAAATTAACCTTTTTTCCTCTGTTTGGTGTTTTCAGTTCAAGACAGCAGACTTGAGCTATCCTGGATGGGGCTATGCTGTCATTGTCCTCCTTATAGCAACATCAGTGCTCTTCATTCCTATTTTTGCATTGCTGCGCTATTTTGGGATCTTGAAATACAAGAAGCCAATGCCTCAACAGAGTGCGGGTGACCGTATTCCCCCAGGATCAATCACTCCATCACTGTCTCGTGTCCCCCTGCCACCCATGGAAGTACCACTGTCTGGAACTCGAGATGATGAGGATTAATGCTAAGTTTGTGGTAACTATCAAGAAGAACTCCCTCAAAAAACCTGTCAGCCAACAATTTTAAGTACACCTGTTGGCTGACAGATGGCTAACAGTTGGTATAAGTGATTCAAAGTGTATAACTACAGAGTAACTTCAACATTTAAAAGTACACATTAAGTATAGTCAAATTTTTGTTTTTCTTTTTATTATTATGGGTTCTATCACCAATATTAGTAACCCATTGGCTGCCTGTTAGTTATCTGTCAGCCAACAGACAACTGACAGGTTGGGTTTTTTAGGGAGCTCTTCTTCACAGTAACCCAGTCTGTAGATGCTTGCTTAATTAGCTCTTTTGTGTGGGTTTTGGAACTTTGAGGCAAGGAGGAAGGGTAACATTTGGGTGCAGGTACAAAACTGCCAGCTAAGCAAGCAATGTTAAAGCTAATGATTGTATATAATTTAGCTTTGGAGTTAAGGCGTAATTTTTCTTCCTTTTATCTGTATAAAGTTAGCCAAAATATAAAAAGGTGTTTTCCTTGCGTTAAAAAAATTCATAGTCTTTTAAAAAAAA